GAAAGGTTTTTTGAGTTGAAGCAAAAAAGTCACTTTACTAACTATTCGTCATTTCAATCTGCAACTGTTTTGAGTATTTTGAAATTGATCGAGGAAAGTAAGAGAGTCATTTAGATTTTTCTCTAGACTTTTAGATTTGTGATTCTCCAAATTTTAGTATTCAGCCCCTGCTATTTGTTTGTATACTTCCCAGAAGTCACACATCCATTGTTATTATATGTAAATATAATTCTGGACATTATCACTGTAATGTAAAGGTGTTTTTTTTTTCAAAAGATACACAGGGAATGACAGAGAGCAAAGACACTTTGATCATGTTTCATGAATGATGGAATAAAGAACTTATGAAAACAGGAGCTTTAATGGAAAACAACCTTAATATGAAACAAGTCAACAGACCCAAAACCATTCCCACAAACAATTCAGTCCTTCATTAATCTAAGACAACAAATAATCCCTCATTCTAGTTCCTTGTTGCTTCTCTTCTGTTTTATATTGTTTTAAAGAGCACATCTTGCTAATCAAGCTAAAAAAAAAAGTATTTGCTTGACTTTGGGAAACATAATGGAAAATGTAATAAAACATTCAAAAAGTGATTTTAATAATAATAGATGAATTCATCGTTGATCAAAGACATTGCAAGTTGCAACTCTGGTTTGTTTTCAAGCAAACCAGCAGGGCTGAGGTTACTGACACTTCTCTTCCAGAAATCTGACTGGTTATTAAAATTAATGGTATTTGTTGTACAGGAATGTTAATTACACGTTATCTTATGGACTCCTCCCTGATGTTTTTTGGTTTTTTTTCTTTAGGTGCAGATGGCAGAGCGAGCCAGCGAGGTGGCGGAGCTGAAACGCAACCTCACCCAGGCCCTCCGAGACAAGGAGCAACTACAGGAGGTGCAGTGCCAGGCGGACACTGTTTATCCCTTCTTCACAGTCGAAACAGTGAAATTCTTAATTAGAAAATGTTATAAGGATAAAGTTTTATTTCAGAAAAAGCCGACTGTTACATCTCAACCTGTAGTTCTGACAGTAGAGATGTTGGCTCTCAATTGAAGTCCATGTGGTGGATCTTCACATTCAATTATAGGAGCTCCAGTGCAGTGTAGAAACTCCTTCCCCTTTCCACACTCCCCACTCCCCACTAATTAATACATCCATACCTGCTTCTTTTGCCCACTGATACAGTGCCATTAGACAGAGCAAATGCCACGCGACGTGTCTGTTTCACCTTTCCAACCCTGGTTTAAATGTTAAACCTGATAGCTGTGCACTAATGAAGTCTTTAAGGGAGGAGGTCAGGGGGGGGGAGTAGGGACAGGAAGGAGGGAGCGAGCGAGCGCCTCCATCCGCAAAGCGAGAGCAGTGGGAGCCGGAGTCTGACACCTATTACAGTAATGAGTAGGGTACTAATGCTCGTGCTTCAGATATAATCACAAAGGGCAGAAACAATGTAGAGGGAAACTTAACTCACAGCTGAAAATGCTAAACTCCCCGAGTGAAAAATGAGCCATGGGAACATTTCCCAGATTCCTTTCACACATTTCTTCAAAGCAATCGCTCTGTCGTCAAAGACAGAATGTTTGGCATGTGTGCATAGCAAAGATCTGTAAACGGGAATTTCAGAAGGAACTAAAAGTATGGATCTAAATATTATGCGTGTGAAGATACACTATAACAATCAACACATTTGTAGGGGTGAAAAACTCAAAGTCATACTGAAACAGAGAAGAAGAAAAAAATCTGTCCGGTGTTGAGATATTTATTGTCTGACCTCCAGGAGCTGCAGCGCTACGTGTGCAGGAAGAGGGAGCAGGAAGCCTGTGTTCAGGGTGCCGAGCTGAGGCAGCCGATGTTGCTGCGCTACCCTCTTCCGTACCCACAGGACCCCTCTCCTCCACCCCTGGTGCCACAGAGGCCTGCAGAGCTGCAGTACGGCAATCCTTACTCCACAGACACCACAAGAGGTGCGAGGAATTCAAACTTTGATGGACACTTCTTCTATTTTCCCTTTAACTCAGGACTATAACAGTTTGTGTTTTCCTAGATCGGGTGGATGCTGCACTGTCTCCCGAACACATGACCCGTCCCCCACCTGAAGCCCCGACCTGTGCCCCTCCCTGTGCACCCCCAATCACACCCCCGAGTCCAAGCGCAGGAGCTCCAGACTGGAACCGAGAGGTGGTCTGCATGCAGCCCACCCGCAGCACCACCCCACCTGAAGGCCCAGAGCACCCGGTCGATGAGCCAAAAAATGTGAGAGCTAACGTACTAACGTACTGCCGCCAAATTAAAACACAGCAAACATTGAGATTCAATTAATTACAAAGCCTGTTATGAATTAGGCTAATTCCTTCACTCAGTTGACAGCACTACTTTAATCACATGACTTGTTTTTGGGATATCCTTCCAAAAATGTAACCCTTATACTAATCCAACATAAATACTTGACATACTATCACACTAGCATTTGCCTTCTAATCCTCACTTTGGGTTTTCTGCATACACAGAATATACTTCCTCTCTCTCTCTCTCTCTCTCTCTCTCTCTCTCTCTCTCTCTCTCTCTCTCTCTATGGAGAACTCAACTCCACTGAATCAAGGGAACAGTGGCTTGTTCTTGAAAGCAGAATTGTTGAACTCAGTTGGTCAAGGCTCAAAAAGACGAAAATGACAGAGAGCTTACAAAGTAATTAGATAGCTAATAGGTCTAGATAATTAGATTGCAATGGGACAGACCTAAGATCAGTTAGTAACGCATACATAGACACTACTTTTGCACTTTACTTTTACACTCTTTTGAAGCCCTTTCAAACTGTGTTCTCTTTTTGTTAGTGAACACATTTGAAGGCTGTGTTCTAGTGAGCATAGAGTATTATAAGCATAAAATCAGACATCAGTTTCAACCTCGTCCTGTGTGTTTGTTTTGTGTTTCAAAAGGCTGCTGACGGGGCTCAGCCATCCTGTGACCATCAGTCCGGCCGACGCAGTGACGCCAGGGGCAGCTTCTGTTTTGACTCCAGGTAGTGTGACAACCCGTACGCTAACTGATGAACGTGAAATAATTATGCGTTAAAATCAGTTTGTTTCTCTAGAAGCCACATGACAAAAAATTAGTCATTCCCTGTGTAAGAGTCAAATGAGGTCAATAAGGGATCCTCCTTACTATTCTGTTTGTTTATGGAGTAAGTAAACATGACAATATCATTTTTATGGAACAAAACCAATAACAGCAAAAAATACACACATACATGATCATGCATTCTGTGTTTATAGATGCAACACATGATGAGATGAGATTCAACTTTATTGTCATTACACATATACAAGTATAGAGTAACGAAATGAGGTTTGGCATCTCACCAGAAGTGCAAATAAGCAGAAATGTCAGATGAAGATAATCAGTATAAAATAAGAGTTGACACGATTGCGTCTATCATGTGTCATGCCCTGTGTCATTCCTTTTTCCAGGAGTGACGTGCATAAGCGCTGCCCGTTATGCGAGGTGATCTTCCCGCCCCACTTCGAGCAACGCAGCTTCGAGCAGCACGTCGAGAGCCACTGGAAGGTCTGCCCCGTCTGCTCCGAGCAGTTTCCCCTCAACTGTCAGCAGCAGCTCTTCGAGAGACACGTCCTCACGCACTTTGACGGCCACGTGCTCAACTTCGAGCAGATTGAGTGAAAAGCTGCAGAGGACGTGTGTTGAATTCTGATATTGGCAAAAAAAAAAAAAAAAAAAAAAAGTATGTTGTCAGCTATTAGATCATTATGATTGGGGTTTGGTTAAGTTGTCCCATTGAGACACTACAACTAGCACTTATTTTGCAATCTTGACACAACTTAGGAAGAATGTAGTCGACTTCTGGAAGGAAGCAGAGTTTGTCCTTTGTTGGCAGCTCCACCTAGATTAGCTGTCACTTTATTACACAGTGGGTCAGTGGATCATTTACACTAGTGGAAAAGTGCTATGGTCCTTTACTTTTGTATTATGTTATGCTCATTTTTCTGCTGTGATGGAGTAAAACACCAGTGGTAGTGCATGCATTAATTCTGCGATCTTGACTATGAATGGAAAAGCTGAAAGCTGGAGCTTAAAGAAGATAATGTCAAAGTCTGTGTTCTTAATGCACACAGAGAAATTCTCTACAAAGAGTTGGAATGTCTTGTCATAAAACAGCCAACCCTTTTTTTTTAATTGTCCTCACAGTCGAAGCTCAAAAAGGCAAAAAATGAAACAAGATTTTTTTTTTTTTAAAGTGTAAATGCAGAGGGAGAGCTGACGAGTGTGTTTCTGTCATTGAAGAGGATGGTGGTGATTCTTTTTTTGACTTGAATGATTTCTCCCCTAACTAAAGTATTACTGTATGTATGATAGTGTTTTTGCAACAAAAAAAACATGAGAAGGTTTAAACAAAAACAGCACTACGTTTTCATGTATCTGCACTAAAGAAAGGCTTTACTCTGAATGTACTGTACATATGAAAATAAGAATAAGTTGTCGAGAGACTTGTTGTGACCCCGCCTCCCTCTTATTGTGACCTCCTTCATGTTTTAGTGATCAGAGAGTGACTGAATAATTGGTCAGATGTTGGTCATTGGAGAGGTACTCTAAAGAACTAGCAGGACACTTAGTTTAAAGATATGAAAATAGAATTGTAAGGAAAAAGTCATTCTGTGCAGGTTCATGTCATGAGTGAGTGTCCTTCGTTGTCCACTGGGCTCCATCACACAGCTTTCTACTTTCTGTCATTAAAGAGTGACTCCTCCTGACAGTGTTGTATTCAGGCTTGAAAAAAATTGCACATTAATGCCCAGTAATCACAAGGCAATCGTGTTTGTACGTCCTGTGTCCAATGCAGCCCTTTTCGTGTGAGAGAAAGGTGGAAAAAAAGTTTGCACTGCAAAGATCTTTATGAATAAATTAAGCTCGTCTTAATTCATTTGATTGTTCTGTATTTCATTTAGATTGATAAGTGAAGAAATAACAGAAACGGAAAGCTTGAGAGCATTTTACTTTATTTTTCTTTTTTTTTTTCTAAAGTTTCCTGTTTACATTTAAGCAGCTTCTCTTTTATATAGAAAGACAGTTTGACATCATTTACAAGTTACTCTGCTCAGAACCTGTTGTCCCCCCATACAAAAAGGAAACAATGGTCTCCACGTTACATACGAAAATATAATTTAAAAGCACTTGACAACAGAACACGTTACAATACATTCACTGTACACTGTACTGGAATATTGAATCCCCTCCCTCGTCCCCTCCTTCTGCACACAGCCTCTGCTCCTCCACTCCCGTATTCCTAATACTGCAATTGGCCCCACATGAAGAGCCGGATCTGTTGCCATGGTGACGGGGGTGTCAGTGAAGCGGGGATGGTTTTTACGAGTGTTTGACAGACCAACAGGAGACTCTCAGTCTCTGTAGGTCTCATCCTGTCTCTGCTCTGATCCCAACCAACGGAGGGAGTTCTCCTTCACTGAAAGGGCGGGAAGGATTTTCTATCTCAAGTAAGATATCTCAGGATTACTTTCAGGTTTTTAAGTCCACAGACAAACTGATACGAAGATTTAAGAGATATTAGCTCACTTATATCCATTCAGAATAGAACCAGGCATCTTTCAGGTCACAGTTGTGCTTATTTGTTAGGTAGCACTGCTTTAAGGTATTGTGTGTATGGTACAGGCCATTGGTAAACCAGGATATGACAAATAAATGAAGGGGTTAAATAATGATCATATACTCCTTAGAATCAGGGGGTGAACAGATGCAGGTGTGCAAGGAAAACATCAAAAATGGAGTGTTTTTAAGGGTCTTTGCGTAGCTAATGCAGTGGTTTCCATGGCAACAGCAGCTAGGAGGACGTGTGCAGGGCGTGTGCATATCAGAGGTCACTGTACCCATCAAATGAAAAAAAAAAAAAGAAAGAATGCATATAGAGCTCATGAGCCCCCGCAGGATAAAAACGTTTGTGAGAGAAAAAAAAAAAGATGATGTCATGGATCAATGTGACTTGGCACACTGTGCAGCGCTGCATGACACCGCTTTTGTTTTTCTAGAGGCAATGAATGATGAAATCCCTGTCAGGGGTTAACAAGTTGGCCAATGCTACACTACATGACGCAACACTGCCGGCACACAATCCAGCCATCCTGCTCTACAGGAGTCGACCCAGCGGCTCGGCAGCAGAAAACATCCGAGCACTGACACACACACACAGAATACAGTCTATAGGCTGACCAGATGGAAACTGCTGATATAAACACACACACACACACACACACACACACACATACACACAGCTCTTACTTACATCACACACATACACACATTGAACTGGAATGCTCTTCTACAACACACAAAAAAATACAGGTTGTAGATGGTAATCTCTTTCTGATATTAACCCACCCTTTTTCTTTCACACATTATTCCTCTTTTTTACGACACGGAAAGCATGCATGAAAACATTCAGACAGATGTACATCAACTCAAACGCACATTTTTGAGGCGCAACTAAGTTGAAAATCATGCCACACATTTTGCGACCTCCAGAGTATTTAAGTGTTACAACTCCCTTCCCACCCCTCCCACCCCTCGTCAGGCACATGGTATGGTCAATGTTTGGCAGTGGAGAGCTGTTGGCAACAATCATGGAACAAACCAAACATCAACAAAGATCTTGGCAACTGGAATAAAGTATGATGCTGAAGTCTCTTGAACGCAGCTCTGGCACTCTGAATGAGGACATATGGAATACATGGATGGCTAAAATGTTTCAGATATGAATTACTGGCCTGGGCCTTTTTATCTAATACGTTCAGCACTGAGGGTCCCTTCCTGATCAACAGTAAATATATCGCACACAATCAGAGTGTGTTGAACTGAAAGGCCTTTTAAGCTCCTCGCCTCCCAAAGTCAGCCGGCTGATCTTGACCTCTGAGGTGGCCGTCTCAGCAAATATGGAATGAAAGGAACACTTATTGATTCATAAACAAAAAAAAAAAAACCTCTACTCTAAAACACTGACAAAAATATATAAAATAAAGCTTGGAAATAAAGTGTAACTATCAATGTATATGCTCATGAATACTTTTATATTTGTATGTACACATATCTATTGTTTATATATCAATATATCTATTTAAAGTATAACTTAACACTTTCACTTTTGCCCCCTGAAGTCACTACCAAGGCAGATCTAAGCTCAGCATACTCTCTACAATGAAAGACTGACTACCACTGACCTTAGACCAGCTCTGATGTCAACTTCACCCCACTCAGGAAAGAGCAGGGAAAGGGGCGGAGCTTGGTTGCACTCCCTGTTTTATGTCTTCTTTTTAAGTTTCCCTCCATCTCTTTTCACCGTTTGTTTTTTTGTCTTTTCTTTCTGTTGTTTTTTACAGTTAGCACCTTATGTCAGTCAAACAATAGAAACAAAAATAATGTGATAGCATATACGAATGTGCAAAAGTACAACATTAAAAATACTACAAAGATACATTTTTTTTGTTTTACCAAAAATACAAGTGATATAACATGGATAAAAAAAAAGAATATGACAGGAAAAAGAAATAAAAAAGAAATAAAAAAGGTATAAGAACTTAAAGCATGCACTTGATCCTTTAGTGTGTGGGATGGGTATAAAAGGGTCAGGTAAAGTCAGGATAGGGCTGTGTTGGGGGTTGGTGCGACCTCGGGCTCTAGCCTTGGATCTTGCGCAGGATCTCTGTGGAGACAGGTGGGTGGAAGTTGATGGTGTGGTGTCTCAGGCCCTGGGAGGTCTTGTAGCTCTTGCCGCAGCGACACTTGAAGGGTTTCCTCACACGGATCTGTGTGCGGTGTCCGTTCTTGGCGTGGTATTTGATACCGTTGACATTCTGAGGAGACATTCAGAGGAGAAGGTCAGAAAATCCGCCTACCTTTACCAACAGAGCTAGGTGATTGAAAATGTGCATGTATGTTTACATCATCACAGAGAGCCACAGTGAGTCTTAGAGGTAACCAGTGGAAACTTCAGGAAGCCCCTGCATCTGGCTAAGAAATAGTTCCCACACAAATACTATTTGCTGTTTTTAACTCCTTGGATTTTGCACAGATTCATCCAAAGAGATAAACCATTTTAATTGTTCAACGTCAGAGGTGATTAAAGACTGATTCTTTTTTTTTAACCTTTGTAAAATACAAAAGTGGCTGTTTTCCATTTTCTTCTCTTTGTGCTCGACTACACAAACAACTGTCATGGAAAAAATGTAGAATCGTGGACCTTAATGCAAAGTTTAGTTAAGGATATCTCAGTATGTATTCATGCTTAGCCAAAACAACACTGCATCCTCCTCCTGTTTGAATCTAAGAAGGGTTTTCATTGTTACCACAATGTCCATTAATCAAAAAGCAAGGACTTTTGAGGCTGAATGAGAGTTTTGTTTGCCGTATCACCCAAAGCAAATGCACCATGATACATTTATCATTGCTTCTAATCAAGATTTTGGATATATAACGTGATTCTTCAAAATAATAGCATGTGATGTCCAAACAAAAGCTCCAGTGTGGGCTCTCTCAGAAGCTGTAAAACATTGTGTCCTATTGGTGTGCAGCTCACACACAGACTTCTCTGTATTCCTTCATCCCCTTACCTTGTACCTCTTCTTACAGCCCGGAACGGGGCAAGCGAACGGCTTCTCCTCTCCCCCGTTCATGCACATGGAGCTGAGAATGGACTCAGAGCTGATGGCACTTTCTGTGGTCCACGACTCATCGCTGTCCGACTCCTCGTAGTCTACCTCCTCTTCATCATACTCACTGCCTGGAGGCACAATCAAGACACACAAAGCTTGTCATCCCAGATGAAATATTGGAAGTGACAGACCCCAAAAGAACATCATGCATTCATTCCCTTGGGAATGTACCGGTCAGTGTTGATACGTAACATTTTATCAATACTTCTCTCTATCCTCTGCTCCTACTTTGATGCATTCATGGCTCACATGTTACTGAAAGCCATGATAAAACAAAACAGCAGTGTTGTGCATATGCGTATGGAGTTGTGAGTCAAAAACACAGGGGTTGGCAAAGACAAAGAGATCATTAAGTGGGAGTTACGTTTGTTACGTGCAGAACACCTTCAACACACACAGGCACTTACTACATTAACAAAATGTTTAGGCACACATGCGCACACACACACACAAACCCACTGACCCCCCACTATCACACAGGAAATGCTGCACCTCAGCATGAGGAAATGGATGGCACCCTGGCACATGTCAAAAGAGAGCGTGTGCATGTGTGTGTGTGCGCGTGTGTGCGGGTGTGCGTGTGTGTGTGTGTGTGTGTGTGTGTGTGTGTGTGTGTGTGTGTGTGTGTGTGTGTGTGTGTGTGTGTGTGTAGTGCTGCCGGTGTATAAGCCCAGACCTAACACTATGTTTGGAACCATTTGGGCTGGAATTGGACATCTGCTCCTGGGCTGTGCAACACACGGCCCCATGCGATCACACAGCGTGACAGCTGCTATGTAATTAGCAGAGTGTTGACTGGTGTGTGCACTGCAGGAGCCAGCAAAGCCAGCACACAAACAACTTGCAGACACACACGCAGCAGACACTGGCTCGGGTTTAAGCCTCTTTACATTGATGAATAGAAGTAATAGTAGACTTCATTTGGCATGGACATCACAGATACATTGGACGAACCAGATGCATTGTTTAAGTGTTTTAGCAAGCATGCTAGTTCTCAACACCTGTCCACAGGAGGCTTTAGAAAAGAAAACAATTAAGATAGGGAGAAAAGCGATAAACAGAGAAAACAATAATGGGAGAATAAATAAATAGAACCGTAGAGCAAAGGCAGCATGATCAAACAATAAACCAGTCAGAAGCTATTCATGTGAGCACTGTTGTTTTGATTTTAGCCATTGTTTGAGTCCTCTGTTAAAAGCGTTACTGTTGCTCTCTAGTTTTATGCCAGTGGGCAGAGAGTTCCAAAGTTTTGCCCCCTTTGCAGAGAAAGCAGACTGGCCAAAAGATGTCTTGTACATTGGGACAAGACAATCACCGCTGATGGAGGCTCGTGTGACTGCCCTACGAGAGCTCTGACGCCTAATGGATAATTCAGATAACAGTGATTATTTACACATTTAACAAACAGTTTAAGATTACTAAAATTCATAAAATTCTCAAAGGTGAAAAGGTTGTGTTTTTTTAAAATGCCGCAGTGATGCCATCTCATAGGTTTCTGGTCCATGGCTTTTATTGTCTGCTTATATAAAGAAACAATAGGTTTTAATATAGTTGGAGAAGTTTGGGACCATGATGTGATAAAATATGACAGATGTGAAAAAATCATTGCATGCATGTATAATTTGGCAGTTTGACATTAAATGTCCCTTCTAATAAAACGAAAACAATTTAGATTTGGTTTGACCTTCTTCACAATGTACTTAACCTGACTGTCAAATTTTAAATTCTCATCCATGATGATGCCTAGATACTTAACTTCTTTTACTACTTCAATTGCTTCATTCTTAATCTGTACCTCAAATACTTCGTTTCCAGATCTATTACGTATGGAGAAGCACATGGCAACAGTTTTCTTAACATTAATAGTTAAATGAGACAACTCGAGCCATTTGGAAACATTACGTAATGCCTCTGTTAGGTGTTCACCTGCTAAGCTAGCTGTTTTAGTGGACACATGGATAACGGTATCATTTGCATACATCTGGCAGTTGGTGCCTGGACAGCAGTTTGGTAGGTCATTGATGTACATTGAGAACAACAGTGGACCAAGTACAGACCCTTGTGGTACTCCCATGCTGTTGGCATGCAGATGAGACTTCACCCCATTGACCCTAACACATTGCTGTCTCCCCCCAGGTAAGACTTAAACCACTGCAGAGCTTCTGATGACATTTGGAATTGCTTTAATTTATTCAGTAAAATAGTGTGATCGACAGTGTCAAAGGCCTTTTTCAGGTCCAACAAAACTGCCCTGACAACATTTCCTTTATCCAGCGGAGCTTTAACATTTTCAAGCAAATAGCAGTTTGCTGTTTCAGTGGAATATTTTTGTCTAAACCAAACTGCTGTGGATGAAGCAATTGGTTAGACTCTAAATGTTCCATCAATTGCTCAGCTACAATCTTCTCCAGAATCTTTGAGACTACAGGGAGAATAGCAATAGGCCTGTAATTACTTGCTATGTCCTTGTCTCCTGATTTAAAAAACTGGGGTAATTATTGCAGTTTTCCAGCTATCTGGGAATTCTTTGTTTGTATTGACAGGTTAACTAAGTAAGTAATTGGCTCCAACAAATAGCTCTGGTGTTTTTTGATTAATGCAGCATGAAGGGCTATGAATATCCTTTGACATGGAGTTACTCATGTTCGAAATCATCTTTTTAACTTTGTCATGTGATACCACTTTAATACAAAAGGAGCCTGTGCGCTCATGGTCAGGTTCTTCAGGAGATGACTCTGTAGTTTTGAAATGACTCGCTAACTCTTGTACACTCTCAATAAAAAAGCTATTAAAAACATTTGCAATAGACTCGTTACTATGAATTAAATTATCACAGACTTTAAGACAGTTTATTTCGGGGTGCTTTTGCTTACTGGAGTTAGTTAGTTTGTTTATGTGTTGCCACAATTTAGAACTACTGCCACTGGCCTCTTCAATGAGTTTGGAGAAGTGATTTGTCTTGGCCTTCCGCAGTTCAGACACCACTTTGTTCCTCAAGCTAGTATAAATAAGGTGGTCAGTATTGTTTTTAGTTAATAGAGACCTTTTAATAGCAAGATCTCACTTTTTTATGATCTGAAGGATATCACTATTAATCCACGGAAGAGAGTATTTCTTGGGTCTACTTTTCCAGGTTTTTGTGTATTTATTTAATAAGGGTAGGGTAGAGGCAAAAATGTTTGCACTGTGGTTTAGATCTGATTCTTTAGTTACCTGTTCCCAGTTGACTTCCGTCAAATCATGTTCAAAGTCAGCTATTTTTGACTTGGGAATTGCTGTTGTTAAAATTAGATTTTCTGTTTTATTGTGCTGGATTAGGAGTTTTCTAGTTAGCTTTCTTACCATCAGTGTCATGTTGTGGTCCGAAAGGCCAGTGATGAGATTGTACATTTTTATTACTCTGGTCTATTTGTAAAATTAGATCAATAAGGGTTTCAGTCTTTCTTGTGATTCGAGTTCGAATTTTGATTTACCACTTTTTTCCAACCAGTTAATGTTAAAATCCCCAAACAACATACATTCACAAGAGTTGTCAACAACAGAAAGAAGCTTCTTCAGTTCATTATAGAAATGTACATCATGTGATGGAGGATTGTAAAGCACAGCAATATTAAATTTCATGTTAGGAGAGAGAATTACATTCAATCCCATGCACTCCAAGTTTGAATTCAGTTCAAGCTCTAGGCATTTAAAATGCTCCCTAATACAAATTAAAACCTCAGTAGTAGATTTTTATTTTGAAAATTAAACAATCACCTGACCAACTTTTTGAAGGTTTTGATAATTGGAAGAGAACACTTTGCAGTTGTTACTGCTCTTGAGTTTTTTGTTTGTATTTTAAAGCTCAGTCACCAGGTATGAAATAAGCTGCATACCATCAACGTTACAAATATCTTCATTTGCTCATCAGAGCGCTGTCTGAATTTGATTGATTGTGTCCTGGTGGCGCAACCATAACTTAGCCTTTTTTTTTTTTGAAACCGCCAGCAGGGTTCATTTGTATTCAACACCTTCATTTACTCCACACAAATGATCCGTCTTCGTCAACACACATTTCAACACGTACACACACACACACACCTGCCGTACCTGTGGGTGTGCTGCTGCGAAAGGAGGAGGAGGGGGTGATGGGGGGCGTGACGGGGGGCGTCAGGTTACCGCTGGTGTGGCGAGGGGGCGTGGCCGTGCTGTTCCTGGACACTCCGCCACTGATGGATAGGGACAGCTTGGGCGTTGCCTTCTTCTTCATGGTCTCCTGCTCTCGGCGAGCTGCATCCGTCATGAACCTGACGACACACACAAGGACGCATCATCAGCAAGTGAGACGGCACGAGAATTTACCATCATGCACCAACAACTGTCACACCTGCTTCACATGCTGAGGTCAACTTTTTAAATGGGAGGCAATAAATGACCCTACCAAACTGATATGTTAGTGCATTAACATGTTTTACATGAAAAATGATTTGTGGGTTTATTAGCAAAATAATGGGTTAGATCTTGGACTTAGCAAAGGGGAGAACTTCTGAGATGTACAAGAAAAATGAGCACATGCAAGGGCTGAAGGAGGAAACAAAGGCAGGAAGTCAAGCTGTAACAAAAGACCATTTCAGTAATATTAATACCAATCCCCTTCATCCTCTCTCCCTGTTTGTGTTAACCCTGTCTTGTCATATTCTTCTTTTGTTTGTACTTTTCTCTTGTACAGTTTTTTGTTGCTATAATCTTTAAAGACACATCATTTCTAATAATGGCTGTTCTGTACAATGCTTCTAGGAAAAAATGAAAAGTCTGAAGTGGAACATCATGACATTAATGAGCTGCTGAATGAGCTGGCCCTTTAAATACACATAACTGTCATCACAAAGACGGCGTAGTAAGTACAGACAACATAAACCGCAGAAAACAAACCTCGTGCTCACTTTCCCTCTCGTTCTATTTTCCCGTTATCTTTGTAAATGTTGCATTTTGGGCTGGTTTAACACAGCATTAAGCTAGACATGACACATCGGTGCACCACACAAAAACACAAACATGCCGCAACCCTAAGATGCCGCCCTTGGCTGTGCTGTGAGCATTGCAGGGAGGCGGGAGGGAAGGTCTTGTGTGGTTTTCTGTGCTGGTCTGTGGATGAGTCACTCGCTTCTGGGTCTATGGGAAGACATCTGTCATTTGAGCTGCTCCCCATAACCCCGCAAGCCACATGTACACACACTTTCTCACAATCACACACGCAAGAGCTGTCACTGGTGGAGCAATGCTGCCCCCTGTAGAAAGACAAATTAGGTTGAGTGAGAATGTGTGTACCTGTTGATGTAGCTTAGGGCCAGATAAGTGGGCTGCTGTTGCTCCTGCTTCTCCAGGACCCGCGGATCTGTGTCTGAGAGAGAGAGAGAGAGAGAGAGAGAGAGAGAGAGAGAGAGAGACATTCAGATTAATCACCGATTCATCACTGCTTCTGCGGAGGGTTATGTTGTGTGAATACTTTTAGTAAGTGGCTGACTCATACATCTATTCTTCCTGCCAGACTTGCTGATGGACTGCTGAGGGTTTCTCACACTGCCTCCTCTGTGTTACTTTATAACATATAAAAGCCTGGAGATACATTTCAGATACTTTCATAAATGGCGCTTTATCACACCAGCGCCAAGCCTTCTGTAATTTACTATTAATGCCATTCCAAATGCTACCCACGGCAGATTAATCACCCCCACAGTCTGAATGTGGTGAAGAAAAAAATTTGTGAGAGAGTGAAAAAACAACTTGCAGGCTGTCATGAATGTACACAGTGTATTGCCACACGCACACGCACAAGCCTTTTCCAGTTGACTTGCTAAGTCAGTCACACTACAGTAGGCAACTTCCACTGCCGGAGGGAAGCAGTGTTAACTTCAAAGCCCCACCTCCCACCCCCCTTCACTGGAAAGCAAGGGTCTGTGAGCATGAAAACACTGCGGGTGGCTGCATCTGTGAAGTACCAGTGCCATCAAGTGTTCAACAGGGGGAACATTCACAAGAACCCATGCTCTAGATTACAGCGTGTTTGGTTTATGCCATGGACTGCATGGCTATGTATGTCTGTGTGTGCACGACGACTGCAGCTTTACACGGAATGGTTAGCAAATGTTTTGCACGTCAGATCTAAGGGCTGGATCATCTCTGTGCAACACTTTACAACATTCTTCTGGACCCTCCTTGCATCTAATCCCCAAGTGTGAGTGTGTTTGCGTGTTGGCTTTCTTAGATCTTTGGTTTTCAGACTTTCACACCTCATAATTAAAAAAGAATGCAGACTTCCCACCGAGCGGGAGAACACCAAGAAGACCGGCAAACAAGAACACGACCCAAAGAGAAAAGACTGTTTCCACAGCTGCTGCTGCTGCGTAGACCATAGTTCTATACATGGTTAAGTGTCTTAAACGCTGGAGAAGCTCGGTGAAGAAACGGGATAGCAGGGGTGTGCATCCATAAACACACACAAATACACTCATCTGAGGTGGTCCACTCAGGTGGTCTTTGACAGTCTTTTATAGCTGAGCCTTAATAATCCTACCTGCTGCTCTGATGCAGGGACCAGAACCCTCTGCATGCCCAAGTGTACACACACACACACACACACACACACACACACACACACACACACACACACACACACACACACACACACACACACACACACACACACACACACACACACACACACACACACACACACACACACACACACACACACACACACACACACACACACACACACACACACACACACTAATGATCCTAGGCCTACATCAATAAGATTGCAGAGTCATGAGATACAAATATGTCTGACCGCAATAAAACCGTAAATATCAGTAAATAGTTTTTTTTTTTTTTTTAAAGTGAAGAGCATAGCAGCCATTTCCAGTATGCCCCTTATGTCCAACTCATAGTCCATACTCCAAAGGGTATTTCATTTACAGTCGTGTCACTAGAAAGTATGATACACTTAATTTAAAAACTTTAAATTAATCATGGTTTGTAGAATAAGTAATCAATGCAATTAAGCATTGTTATTGTGGAATTTCAAAGGACCCTCCTTCAAGAATTTCCATCTTCAATAATAATCCAAGAGTCCAACTTGCATAGTCACAAGTGGTGGGGGGGGTGGCTCTGCCAGGTGCAGAGAGAGAGAGAGCTGCAGTAAATGTTCACTGGCTTTACGACTTCTGTTCACCTAGCAGGACAGGAAGTTAACTAACACACTGCTGATCCTGTCGCTGGGGCAATAGGGGAGCTGAACACACACACACACACACACACACACACACACACACACACACACACACACACACACACACACACACACACACACACACACACACACACACACACACACACACACACACACACACACACACACACACACACACACACACACACACACACACACACACACACACACACACACACACACACCATAATTTTCACAGATTTAAATCAGTAAGTTTAAAATAAGTAAATACGTTTTTTTATTTAAGCTACCAAGAACACTAATGCACAAGTGAGTGTCGCGTCTTGTGTGTGTGTGTGTGTGTGTGTGTGTGTGTGTGTGCTCATGATGTCCCTGTGCATGTTTGCTGCTTGTCTGTGCCATTTCAGGGTCTTAAGGGTCTATAAATATCTCCCTAATTAGCATTCCTGTCATAAAAAAAAAAAAAAAAACAGCAACCAATCAACACTCTACTCACTTCAACGCAGACGTCCATCTCCCAGCAGCAGAGCACTGCTGCCCCCTGCTGAATACACACACATGTGGATGTGCACATATGTATGGGTCTAGGCGAGTCTTTGTGTGTGTCTTCACATGTGTGCATGTTTTGAAACCAGGCAAAGAATGCATGGCTTGTTTTGCAGACTGCTAATTAAGCCACAGAGAGCATTTTAAAGTGTTGTAGAGCAGCGGGCAACCGGATGGAGGGAGAGGAGAGGAGAGAAGGAGGAGGAGGGAGGGTGGAGATGTAGGTGGGGGCAGACTTCTCTGTAATTACACTTCCCAGAGATTAGTGGGGCGCTCCGGCCCTGCGACTTCCGAAAGGCAAACCATGTGACTAGGTGTATGTGGATGTTTGTGAAGAGTGAGCTGAGAGGGTCTGCAGTTTACAGTTGGGGGATGCTGATCCACTAATTGCTGCGTTACACCCTGACAGGTCATTCAGGAAGTTTGGTGGACAAACACACGCTTCTTACCGTGTCACACGTCACAAAGTGGGATCTGGTAATTTAGGATGGATTGGACTAAGTTTATAAAACATCCCATGACATGTGTTTCTTTGGTATTTTATAACGAGTATTCAAAAAGCATCTGGCATAGACTCATTAAGATGGGCAGTGAGGAAACTACAGGATTACAACACATTCAAAAGTACAGCAACCATATAAAAACTTCATATATTTACTAACCACTTTGGACATTTTTAAAGATCTGAGAGGCTAAAACATGACAACTTTCATTACACAAAAGATTAAACAATTGTCCGAGTTGTTGCAGATGTTTTTATTTCTGTCAATCCACTGATTCATTATTTTACGGTTTCTGTATTTCTTTTGGTCTAATGCTGCGTTTTCATCCACAAGCTTTGGGGTGGCTAGTATGCATGGCATCAACTTCATATTTGACATATGAAGCTCATTGCATGTGATGCTCATTGCATGTCTCCCTTTTAAATAAACAAATAACATAAAAAATAAATTGTCAAACAATTCATTATGTCAGCTTTGACGATTATATCACCAAAATCACGATTCTACCTGAAGATCAATAAACAATAATACTCCCTAACTGCTCAGCACTATCAGCAGATGCAATGTCAACTGGTGTAATTTTCCAGACAATGTAACCACAGAGAAGAGGGATTTTCCTACAGACAGATGATGCTTTTCATTATACTGTTTCTGCATTCCCCTTTCATATGTGAATAGAGAAACACAGCCCAACTCTGCCTTTGGGCTGAATAATTATCCAAGATAATAATGTAGGTTAAGTATCGTTATGCTTCAGCAGAGCCTTAGAACCTTCCACAACACAATGCGGACCTGACTCGCTCAACATGTGCTCTCGGCTCAGCCTTTGATTTTAGGTCTAACACCAAATCCAAGTGAAGTCTGTCCAAACAGAGCTGAGATGTTTGGGATTTCCCTGTGCTTGCTCTCCCTCATAGTTTCCCTTTCTTAAACTTCTCTTTCAAATCTCTTCCTTGATTTTAATCTCTACATCTCCCTTCCCCCCCCCCCCCCCCACCACCCGCCAGCTGCTCTCTGTTGAGGTAAGAGGCAGGTATGTGCTTGTGCAGGTGGCAACACGGCTCAGCAGCGCTGCTGTGTACACGGGCCGACTAGCCTGACATCATTACATTCCTCAGTTCTTACCTAGAGCCACGGCACAAAGCCCTCGACAACAACCAAACACTGCTAAACACAGTTCACATCACCAATTTCCTCCTCTTATCTAAACACTACAGGTATGTCATTGGATGAGGTCATCACTGTAGACCCACATATGACCTAATTTTCTCACGGAGAAGATCAAGACAGGCTGTGTTCACCACGATCTATTGTGTGCTGTGTAAAAAAAGAGATAAGATAAGATACATGCTGAGATCATTGAGATACATTGAGATACCGAGATGAAGAGAAAAGTTTGACTTTTTTTTTTAAAGATTTCCAGAATTTAGGATATACCAACACTAGAGGGCAGCACAGTCTACGCTAATTACCAAATTTGTCTGGGACAGACCACCACTGATTTGACCTGAAAGATCCACTGACTCACTTTAACCGCTATTTCCGTCTGATAGCACCAGCCTGATAGCACCAGCCTTTTGTCACCTCAGCGTGGATTATCTGACATGTAGTATGTGCCTGCTTTTTCATAATCTGTTTGCACACTGCAGGATGGAGCAAAATCAAAGCAATCTGTTATCTACAGAGCCTTAAAAAGCTTATCTGGCATTGCACGTGACGGAGCCTGCATGCTGGATCAAATTAGCTTATCTTCTGATTGATTGTTGCTCACACTTGGCTGCACCATTTCAAAACTAAAAAGGGGGCGTGGAACGCTCGATGCCGGACCACTACTCTCCTTCCACTCTCTCACCTCAATCCCTTCCATCTGTCACACTCATCCACTCAGTAATTGATCTAGGAGTCGTATTGATTAGGTTTTATGTGTGATCTTGACGCTGCCAAGGACCAGCAGAAGCTGGCAGAGGGGAAACTCATTAATCCGAGTGATCTGAGTGGGGAACGGCCTTTCTGCTCTGCTGACTGTTAGGGTCAAAAGGTCTAGCTAGGAGCCAGATGGGTGCATATATCAGGGAGCGCCTGAAAAAACAAAATCCATTCTTACAATTTTGTTCTTTAAAACGTGTTTTTAAATAGATACTGGTTGGTTTGGGAAGAAACAAATGTACACATGGCCGGACGTTAAACCCATTTTGATATCCTCCCTCTTCTTGGTTAATTTGTAACGGCTCCATCGAGCATATGGTCTGATTAAGCTCGGTCCACATCCCCGCCACCCCACCACTCTCTCCTCACCCACAAAACACAGTCCCACAAAACTGATTTGAACCGTCATGTTTTTTTTTTTTAATGACAGCACATCAGTCCCATCCAGCATGCGACATGACATCACGCATCCCTTTCACAGCACGCTTCTCAAGAGCGCTCTTTGTTGGTGAGACAGCAGGTGTGCAATAACTCAGCCAATATATTGCCTACTGCCCCCAACCCCTTTAGAGACAGCCAGTTGCCATGGAGACTAGCTCCAATGAAGCATCCATTATATCACCCTCACCACCTCAAACATCCTCCTGAGGATGGATACACACTACTAATAATGATTAGCCCTGATTAACTTTACAACATTGCATTGACACCTTTAGTTAGCCACACCTTCATTCATTCTTTTCATACTGTCATCTGCTATAATGGATTAAAGGTTAATCTGTTGGTTTATTCAAACATTTTGTCTTTCTGAAAAGGGAATAATGTGCTCCTAAAAGCAACACTTAATTAATCCTTTGCAGTAAATAAAACGATTACAGCAGCTGCAATCGCAGTCACATTAGATTAAAAAAAAACACTTGACAAAGAACACTGAGGCATCTTAAAATAAGACATAATACTACTACTACTACAATAATACTACTGCACTGTATCTGAATGACTTTTCCCAGTTATATCAGCACAATAGCAGAGAACATTTTCCACCATTAACAAAGCTAAGGAACTTATTTTCATATTTAATGACTTGCCTGCATTAAAGTGTCATTTATTTTTAAGGGACTATATTTATAATAGGGTTTAAAATGTACCTATTAATTACCAATAATACAAAATAGTATTATTATGTCTTTATTACTAATACTTAGCAATAAGCCTACTTAAAATACTTGCATTCGTTTTATATTATTCCCTTTCTCTGTTGTCAGTGTTGACTGAACATCTTATAAGCGGAGCAACAAGTTGAAGCTTTCGCAGGAGGAAGAAAAGTCAAATCATTTCGGTGAAAATCTGCATCCACTGAGGTTAGACTAATGAAGTGACACCAACACTAAGGAACCGCGTTGACTAAAAAGGTGATGCGTTGAGACACCTGAAGCGTCCAAAAGCGACAGACTTTTGGACGCTCGATACACACACGGTGCCAGAGATGCCACGGCTGCTGTGCATCAGGCCTGGAAATGTAAACAAACCGACTCCTCCGCCACTGTTAGCCGTGAAACCTCCGCCTCGTCGGAATGCTAGTTACACCTTAGACCTACGCGGCCCTCGGAGTCGAGTTACCGCTGTAAAAGGTGACTGTGATGGCTTGTGCTGAATTAAAACCAGCCGGGTACTTATTTCAAAGCGATTGAGTTTTTTTCCGAGGCATTTAACACCAGTGTTATTGAATAACTCGCTCTCCGATGAGCCTCGACGGAGAGCGAGCAGCAGGAATAGCGGAATGTAAACCCGAGCCTGTCTGCGTTCAGCTAACTAGCTAGGAGGCTAGCTAATACGAGCTAGCTGCTTAGCTCCATCTCCCCCCCCTCCTCCTCCTCCTCCTCCTCCGGCCTGACTCACCGATGTGATTGTCCTCGATGTGGACGATGAGCTCGGCGAGAGACTCGAACTGAAGACCGCAGCTCCCGAACCTGCAGGAATTAGAGAAGAAGGAAGCGGCGGCGATGCCCGTCATGGTTTCGTCGCTGGTGCATTCACCGGGTGGATTGGGGGGGCGGGTGGGAGCGGGGGGGGGACCGGGAGCCGGGGTGGTGATCGAGGAGGCAGAGTCGTCGGGTTCGGGGAGGGAGCGCGGCGGAGCAGACACCGGGCGACCAGACAGGACAGCGGCGGACGCAGCTGGTAGGCAGGCGGGACGGTGGGGGTGGGGATGGGGGAAAGAGGAGGGCTGGTTGGTGGCCTGCCTACGTCACGACCTTCCTACCTGTTGGTGTATGAGCCCCCGGAGCTCTGACTGTGATGCCCTGACACACATGTAAAGATAAAGATAAAGATAAACTTTTATTGATCCCCTGTGGGGGGAAATTTGTGCATTACAGCAGCTCCAGAAAACAGGGGACGGGAATATACTTATAAAAAATAAAAATAGAAGTTAAAAACAGATCAAACATATTTACATCATTTAAATAAATAAATACAATAATGTAAAAAAATACAATAATGTAAAAAAAATACAATAATGTAAAAAAAATACAATAATGTAAAATTACACAGTAACTTGTTCTTAAAAAAACACAGTGTGTAGCATGAGGTGGTGATGTTGTTAAAGAGTCTGATTAAACAGTCTGACTGCAGATGGGATGAACGACCTGCGGTAGCGCTCTGTCTTGCAGGGTGGGTGTCTGAGTCTGCTGCTGAAGGAGCTGCTCAGAGCCCCCACAGTGTCATATAGGGGGTGAGAGGGGTTGTCCATGATGGATGTCAGCTTCACTAACATCCTCCTCTCACCCACCTCCTCTACAGAGTCCAGAGGACAGTCCAAGACAGAACTGGCCCTCCTGACCAGTTTGTTCAGTCTCTTCCTGTCTCTCTCTGTGCTCCCTCCTCCCCAGCAGACCACTGCATAGAAAAGTGCAGACGCCACCACAGTGTCATAAAAAGTCCGTAGCAGAGTCCTGCACACTCCAAAGGACCTCAGTCGCCTCAGCAGGTGAAGTCGACATTGGCCCTTCTTGTACAGGACGTCGGTGTTGTGTGACCAGTCCAGTTTGTTGTTGAGGTGAACACCCAGGTATTTGTACGTCTCCACCCTCTCGATGTCCGAGCTCTGGATGTTCACCGGTGCGGTCTGGGGTGACTTCCTGCGGAAGTCAATCACCATCTCCTTATAAAAATGTGCATGCCCTTTAAAGGTAAAAGAAACATCTAGGCTTAACAGACAGATAGGCAAATCATGGGGTAACATGAGTGTGAGCTTTAACTGTAGCCTACATCTGATTTTTCAATATTTAGGCTAGCCAGCTATTTTATGTTTTTAGGCTATATTTATATTACATTAGGCTATATTAAAAGAGCCTCCACCTTTAAGTGAGCCTGTCACTGTTCTGTTTTTGAATGATTTTGTAATGTCTATTTAATTAAAGGATTTCAGCAAATTCACAAATGTGTTGTGTGTCGTGTGTTTATTTTATGGGTTTAGGTTATACACTCTTTTTATTACACTGTGTTTATAAGAACATACTATCAAATGGCACTTTTCAGTGCTGCAGCATGTAATAGCATGCACCTGCAAATACGCAATAGAAAGATTTAGCCTAAACAGAATTACTCTGAAATACTCAATGGATTTCAGCCATCATCCAAAAATCATATGGTGTACATTACATTCATGAGAATAAAATAAATTGTAATACCCAAATTAAGTCATAATGTCCTATAGTGCTACATCTGACTAACTTGTGCCTGCATGAAATTAATTACTACAGTAAATGGTAAATAGCAAATTGACTTGAGCTTGTATATTTTTGTGTTTTCTGACTCCTCAAAGTGCTTTTTCACACAGCAGGTCACACCTACCCAATCACACACTGATGGCAGAGGTTGCTATTTGTAAAGTGTCAATCAGTATTAATAAGTCCCTTTCATACTCATTCACACGCTGCCAAGTTAAGTGTCTTGCCCAAGGACACATCGGAGATGTGGCTGTAGGAGCTAAGGATCAAACCACCGACCTTCGAGAGATGATGGACTCTACCAGTGATCTACAGCTGTCCACTGTCCCTTTAGGATCTAGAGCTTCTCAATGAATGGATCTGAGCAGTTATTCTGTGCAGATAGAGGTCAGCAGGAGGATCAAATTCTAAATGATTAATGTCACTTAAAGTCAGGAGTGGCAGCATCAGAGTCCCATGACTGGTTGAAGCTACAAATATGCTGACATTTATTAAACTTTTACATTTATCATGGCAATTAATCGCTGCATTAAACATTTTCCAAGCAGTAATATGCTTTTAATTCTCTTCAAATTTCTAGCATGCCTTACACAATTACATACAATTGCTTTTGTGTATGAAATGCTTTTTATGAAATTATTATATTTCAATGCCAGAGTGCAACTTTTGACATGTATAAAACATGTCAGTACTTTTCCTTGCAACTGCATCCAAACATACATATTGGAATTTTTTTTAATTTGAAAATCAAATTGCTTGCAGAAATTAAATATGTGTTACATATTTTCCATCTCTGACAAAGTCATCTGATGACTCTAAATAAATGGATGAATTTCTGTCTCTGTGTGTATTAAGAGCTAGCAGTTTCACAGCATTGACAACAACATCTATTACATCCATAAAGTTTACAGATTAATGTTGTCTTAGGGTTGTGTGTGTGTGTGTGTGTGTGTGGCTCCCAGAGAGAGGAGAATGTCTTTAAATCACTGTGGATGGCTAACCAGGGCCGGCTGGCCTGCACTGGACCTGTTAATCGAGCGTTAAAACAGCCTGTCATAAACCACTGGCCAGGGACTTCAGCAAACAACTTTAGAACCTAGGAACCGACTCACTCTTTTTCTGACGACCCTCTATCTAGCCAACTGTATAAAACACACACACACACACAAATGCAAACCTTCACAACTACAAGTTCATACAAACTATCACAAAAATGTACACTCACACAAACACAATGACATCACACACACCACCACACTCTCTCACACACGTGTACAGTATAGAAACTCAATGACTTCATCAGCAAAGCACAGATGTTCTCTCTTACCATCAGGTAGACACACACTCAACATAAACACACACACACACACACACACACACACACACACACACACACACACACACACACACACACACAACACTTGGTGTATCAGAGCTGTGACAGTGACGCAGTTCCTAGCACCATTACGTAAATGAGAAGTGGTAGCATGTGTTGTGAAAGGCAGGGGAAGAAGGGAGAGACACAGAGAGAGTTTACAGAGCATGACTTCATCTGATCTGAGGTCTGTGGGTGGTGCACAGCGTTACAGATTGATTTCAAACTAGTGCAGCTTCTTTGATTAGCAGCTTTACGTTGTCTCTGAACGATGTCAGACCAGTCAGTGTGAGGACCAACAATATGTGCTGTGCCTAATATTGTCCAGAGTGGGTTAAAAATGACAAACACCTGTACCCCTTAACATGGATCCGCATGTTAAGGGGTACAGGGTTCCAATTAGTTTTTAAGTCTTGGTACTAGATATAGTGTTAAACAATCAAACCAGAAAAAAAATGGCAAATAAGTCTGATGTGTGATGTAGCTAAAATGAGGATAATGTAACATACAAATCGAGGTCAGTAAGTTTGTTTGACCGTTGACCTGAAACCCAATAATTCTGCCGACATGGTGACATCAGGCTTTGAGCAGGCAGCTCTCTAAAGCTCCCAGTCTGGCTGTTAAAAGCCATGCTGAGGTTAAGATGCCTGATGCTAATGGCTGGTAGAGTCACTGAGTTATGGGGGCAGTTGTAAGCTCAGTGGCATTGTCTGCTCCGAGGCTCCAGCCAAAGACTTCCTGGCTGCCGTCATACACTTTTCAGTGTGACTGTGCACTCACAGGCGTGCACACATGCGGAAAAACATCCCGTATCTCCACTGAAAACAAAAACTCCCATCAAGAGCTCAAAACACTGAGTGACATCACCACAACTTCCTGTTTCTTCTTGTTACCATGGCTTCCATAATTTGCATACTTTAGGCGATTGGTGGATGATGAGTCAGTGGGGTTTGGTCTGGTTTTGTACTTCAACCACAACAAAACAATATTCCTCTGTTCAGCCCCTGCCAGGCTGGTCGCCGGAAAGCTTGACCAAACATGGCAGAGATATAACTCCATGGTTAAGCTTGGGAATGAGCACAGTCTTTACTTTTAGTTATGGCATGTGAGATTTTATGGAATCACAGAACTCACCTAAAACTATTGGAAAGCGATTTTGTTTTAGTAATGTTTATTAAATCAAATGTACATTGAATTGATCAAATCTCTCCTAACTATAAAAAAAAAAAAAATCTATAAAAACTAAATCAGAGTAAATGTGCATGCCCTTTGAAGATAAAAGAAACATCTAGGCTTAACAGACAGATAGGCAAATCATGGGGTAACATGAGTGTGAGTCCAAGCTTTAACTGTAGCCTACATCTGATTTTTCAATATTTAGGCTAGCCAGCTATTTTATGTTTTTAGGCTATATTTATATTACATTAGGCTATATTAAAAGAGCCTCCACCTTTAAGTGACAGGCTCACTTAAAGGTGGAGGCTCTTTTAATATAGCAAATGTGTTGTGTGTCGTGTGTTTATTTTATGGGTTTAGTTTATACACTCTTTTTATTACACTGTGTTTATAAGAACATACTATCAAATGGCACTTTTCAGTGCTGCAGCATGTAATAGCATGCACCTGCAAATACGCAATAGAAAGATTTAGCCTAAACAGAATTACTCTGAAATACTCAATGGATTTCAGCCATCATCCAAAAATCATATGGTGTACATTACATTCATATAAAAAATAATCCACCAAAGCATAGAACCTTTTATATTAGATCTTCTTAAAAACAAAACAGAACAACTTCTTCAACTGTGCGTCAATGCCCCTATATTGTGTCAGGATGTAGTGAAACTCTTTGTTCGTCTTATGACTTATGACGTCATATCTAAAACACAATGACTATCAGTGTGAGGACTGTGGATGTGTTGATGGTAAAAATAAACACAATGTACCTAAATGTGTTAAATATTTTAGCAAAAGCTCTTCACTGCTAAACTTGTAACTATAAATTGTAAATTGAATTAAATGGAATGAACAGCAAACAGCTTTTAAGATAGATTTTGATCATACGCCTGTGAGATTACAAACTTGACCTCCTTTATTTGTTTTACTTTTATCGCCTCAAAGCATAACTATGTATTCATTATGAGTATTAATTCAATGCTGTCAATTGATTGTTGGCTGTCTGGTTTAAGCTGCCTGTGCATATTTCTTGAGTGGATGTATGTTGACCAAACTTCAGTAAGTATCGTAGTAAGAATCAATCTGATTGGCCAAGACAAAAGTCTTAAACTTGCTTCAATAATTAATAGTCCGACAATAATTTACAGGCATAGAAAATAAAAAAGTTATTAAAGAAAACCAAACTAAACAAAAATAGGCCAAAATACAAAAGGAAAGTATGTTTTTCAAGTCGGTAATTATAATAGAACAACATGTAAAAAGCATCAATGATAAACATATTTATGCAAATAGAGGGCTTTTTAAATTCTAAACATACAAAAAAAGACTAAATGTAGGTCTTAATATGTAATACCCATAACGTTCAGTGCATGGATACATAACAATCATTTTACTATGCAGGGTAATATTTGACAGAGCTAGGTAAGCAGTGTGTATACAAACCCTTACATGACCTATAACTCATCATGTATGGGTATGCAGATTATTTTTTATATTACTAATATAAAAATGTAATTCAGTCATAATTCATTATATTACTAAAATAACGATGGTTTTCATTGCCATTACGATTGTCATTTTTATTATAGGCTAATTATAGTGTGGATTATTATTATTATAGGCTATTATTATTTATGGTGTTTTCGTTTTTGTCCTGACATGTCAGATAATTTGTTTATTAAAACTGTAGGCTATTTACGATAATAATGAAGACATTGAATAAACACTTACTATTAGAGCCTATAGGCTCACTATAATTGTAGCCATTATGTTTTCTGAGATTCATTTATCGCGATCTACCCCAGGATGAAGTCGAAGCACGGACTGACTCAAGAAGTTTTTAATCTTAAAATAAATAGAGCGACATCAGAAATAGGCTGTAGAAAAGTTTCGACAAGAGAAAAACCTCGGGGCTGTTGCTTATTTGACGCATGTAGCCTAACTCGATGCAGACGCTGGGACGTCCCATTTCAGACAGACACAGTAGGGAGAGAAAGAGAGAGAGACAGAGAGAGAGAGAGGGGGGGGCTATTTCATCCGCCCACCCTGCTGTGCCCCTCGTCCCGTCACGTTGCTACCGGTGTGTTTGACTTGACGTGACTGTCTGTCCGTCGGTTTGGATCCTCCACCATGTTACTGTCCCGTTCGGTCCGCCCCCCTCCCTCCCTACCGGCCGGTGTCGTAACCCCGCCCCCCTAGATCCCTCTCTCCGTACGGGACCGCAATGATTTAGAACTTCAGGAATCCCACGTGACGTCATCGGGCGGGTGATGTAATGCTTCTGTAAATAGAACGTATTGTAATCCCGCTCCAGTCCAACGTGGTTCCTCTCTGGAGCGCCGCTTGTCCCTCTCTACTTGAAGGTAAGCCTCCACGATTTGCTTTCATTCACAAAAAAACTTAAAACCACGCAGCAGGCGTACTCCTTACTCTTACGACTGTTTGTTGAATCTACCCCCCCTTTTTTGACGATTTTCAAATCATTTTTCAACGCTACTTTAAAGTTAACGGAGAGAAGTTTTTGGCTCACTGTCCCGGGTGAAGTCTCATCACTGCGTCTATTTGGGGGTGTGACAGCACTCTCCGTTACAGCTGTGCCGGGCTTGTTTATGAGTTGAACAGGTTGCTTTACGGAGCGGTAAGAGAAGACACACGCACACCGGCATTTCCATTTGACACATGCCGGTACCGACTGCCCGCTTGCCGGAGGACTTTGCCGGTCAGAACCGCTGCTCGATGTGAGTAGTTGGTATTCATTTAAGCTATCAAACATGCAACTTTGGAAAAGTAGCATAAAGTCTGCTCAATTCAAAAGGTCTCGATTGTAGATGTTTAACAAGTTCCTGTGACTTTTAAACTTGCGTGTAATAGGCTGTATTTCTATTTGTCTTTACCCTACATTAATGACAAGGGGGGAAGGAGGGGTATAAAGGCAACAACAACAACAAAAAAGTCGTTGCCCCGATTAAATAATTTTTCCTGTAACGCAAATACATTAATCCTTCTTGAATTGGCAACATGTTGTCTGCTCCCTTGTCGGATTTATGTATTAAGGGTGACGTCATTGTGCATTGATGTAACCACTCTGACAGAAGGTTTTTCTGAAAATGTGCTGAGTGTGCTCCTCTTGTACAAGTGCTGCTAAAAATGGGAAAAAAAGAGATTTAGTGCCAAATGCTGCTGAAGATTAAGCTGATTGGTCTTATTGATCTGGATCTTTTTGATCAAATCATGAAGTATTGCATTATGTAATATCATTGCTGCAGGGTATACAACATGACCTGCAGTTGTAAAACAAGAACGCCGTTAGTCTTTTTCCACTCTTTCGTTCAGTGTTGGTGTTGTTGTGGACACTGTTTCCTTATTCCGTTTTGTAACAAACACACACACACACATGCTGACACAAACCTATGAAGTCACCTCTACATGGCGGGGGTTGGAAAATGGGGGCAGAGGCAGGTTCAAACCTGTCGGGAGGAGCAGGCCCTCCCTGTGCCGCCTCCCTCCCTCATTCCTTCTCTCCTCAATTCATTGTGTCATCCTACTCTCTCTTTCTCACTGCCACTTGCCCTTTCCATTCCCCTCGCCATCCCCCTGTAATATCACCCCCCCCCCCCCAATCACACACACACATACTTTCCATTTCTTATGGAAGCATGTACTTTTGCCCTTTCTCTCTCCTCGCTCCTGTCTTTGGCCCTCACTCTTTCCCATAACATCAGGACCCACTTTACTGTATTCTCAGCGATTTCCGCTCACCCTGACTTTGAGAGCGTATGTGTTGTGTACCTGTGAAAAACTGTCAAACCCACTCCTCATCTCCCTCATATCTGCCTTTCACCACTTCTCGATAACTTCTTCCTGTGCTCTGGAGTCATCATTATGAAGGAGGATGAGAAAGTCGAGGAAGGATCTCATTGACCTTCGGGTCCTCTCGAGTGTTTGAGTCTTGTTTGGTGACAGTCAGCTGAGAGGAATGCCTCAGGTCAGAGAGTTGAAATCCTCTTCCTTTGGGCTCAGCGGAAAATAAAGGGCCTGAAGCAAGGACCCTTTGAAAAGTTATAATTACCCCCCCCCCATCACTCACTTAATATGCTCACTGAAGAGCTAAAAGGGTCAGGCAAGGGTTAAGTTATCACTGTGCTCTATGCTGTGTTTGTGTTGATATTTTTACCTGGTGGTTACCTCATCTTAGATATTCTTTCATCACACTGATGTTATCGGCTGATGCTGTGAAGCCTAATTGTAGGAGGGAGGAAACAATTACACTATATTTATCATTAAGCTTTATACAAACCAGGAAAAGTGTGATCATGATAATGTAAGACCTTGATACCCTTCGGATGCTTACATGTTATTAGGATTGTGTAATGACTAGTTAGGAAAAAACCCAGATGGATTGGGTGTATTACGGTTCTTGCACTAATAAAAACGACTGCTCCCACTGGCACCAAAGGGTTCACTTTCCTCCAGATAATGTTGCGTCTCATAGTGAAACATCCTTCTTCACAGGCCTCTATCTCATTACACAACGATTTGACAATACAGCCTTGATAATAGGAAGATAACTGTATCAGGCAAGCTTACAGTGTGATGTATCTGAAGGCATTGTGTCTGTGAAAACAAAAAATATAGAATGGAGAACTGAAGGCTTCCACTAAGTGAGATCATCGTACAGTAACTGAGAACTGAGGGAGAAGTTCCCTGCATGTGTTCAAACGAGGCGGCTGTGTAATATGTTGTTCTTGCTTCCCTCTGTTTCGCAGGCTTGTGTATGACATGAATGACAAACAGGACAGGCCTTATGTGTGCAGCGCTCACGGCTGCTCTCAGGTCAGTTGGGTGCAGAATCTGTGTGTGTTGCAATGTTACAGCTTTAAGGAAAATTCATTTTGCATGGAATAAATATTGAGTATAATTAAACTTCAATAAGGAATAAGATAATTTATTGCAAGATGTTTAATAAAATGCTTACATTAGGGGGGGAAAAGTTATTATTCATGAGTGTTATTTAAGGGAAAAGTGCCACCGAACACTATGTAGTTCACAAATGATAGAGAACACAGTGTATTTTTTGGGCTGATAGTAACAGGATTTTACAGATTTAAGATTTTATTCGTCGACTTGGAATGCTTTCAGGGCCTTGCTCAAAAGGCTAGTGGGCAATAAAGAATTATATATAAAAAACAGTGGAAATACGAATTAGAAAAGGAAATACAAATCCCTAAATCTGAAATTATCAAATAGATTTTTTAAATATATGAGAAAAAGTTTTTATCAGAAAAATACTCTGCAATTATATTTGTCAGTTACTGCATTTAACAGCTGGATCAATAAGTATTCCAACATTTTCACCTGACTAACACCCTTATGACTGATAAGGGACGTCAGGTTCATTTCACTGAACATCTCATCTCATGTGTCACGTCGAACAGCTGCACTCGTCTCTTCATGTCTCTCTCACTCTGTCGCTGTGCTGTAGCGCTTCCAGTTAGAGGAGCACCTGATCATCCACAGACACAAGCATGAGATGACCCTCAAGTTCTCCTCCATCAAGGCAGATACAGCGTTTACAGGTGAGTGGACAAACCAACCTGTCACACCTGTTGCACTCTCTAAGTTTGCATGGAGATAATAATAATAATAATGTTTCTTTTCTTATCAGTCACTCAGTTGTGAGCGTGATGACTTCTTTCAGGGCTTTCAGCATGAAAAAGTGATGACTCCACGTTATACAGTATGAAATCAGATAAGCTCGATGCAGGCCTCCTTCCCTCAGATAGTCTGTACTGTGAAACAGAGCGCCTCCTGTTGCAACCTGTACAGTAAACTGCATCAGATTAGACCAAATATAATGAAAACAGCATCATTGAGGACCCCATTTTGATTTACAAACAGGAAGTGGGTGTAGATTTCAGCACAAACCACCCTTAATATATGAATGCTTTATTTAGATATTTGGCAAAGTAAGTGAGGAGTGCAGGAAGGATCAGGATACCAAAACACAGATTATCATATATTAGTTTTATTTCCCAAGTAACTAACAAATTGATTAAAAAACATTCACAATGTAACGTGCATCTACGACTACAAGTGTGTCTTAAAAGCTGGAACAAATGTTTACTACAATTTTATTGTCAAATTAATGATTAATTAAGGGGATATCTTCAGTTCGGATTTTTATTTTGTTTAAACCCAAAAGTTTTTCTTAAATACATAATACTAATAGTTTCAAAACAATACATGTGCTTATGGCAATACAAAACAAAGCATCCAAAATAGGACATATATTAGGACAGTCAAGACAGCTGCAGAATACTGAGAAATAAGTTCATGGAAGGAATTCAACAAAAAAAAAAAATGAACAAAGAAAAAACAAAACAAATATACTTGAAAAAAATATTGATAAAGACACTTAAGATGGATAAGAGAGAACTGAAAAGGAGGTTTATGTGTTTGAATTTCCTTTATGAATGTGCTGATGGTTGTGTTGGTGTTGCTGTCTGAAAGGGGATTAGAGGAGGGTTTGGGTGGTGTTTAGGTTGTGGGGGCTTACGGGCTGCAGAAGGAGCATTAGGTGTTGGAGCTTCAATCATCTTTTTGTACACTGATCTAACAGACACTGATTGAATTTTCATGTAACTCTGTGATAAAGTTACATATAGTAAACTGGAAAAACTCCTGACCAAGTTAAAAAGTCTCCCTCTCCTTTCAAGGTTTAATTTTTCCCAGTAAATCAAAAAAGAAGGTCCTTCTGTCCAAAGAGCCGCCAACCCAAAGAGAATCTAATTTTTATGCGATATTGTGTCCCATGATAGTTAAATGTCACTTAAGATGCTCTTTGCAATTTTAAAAAATGTCAACGAGGGAAAAATGTTCTGCAAGAAACCACAATCTAAACCTCGGGAGCAGTGCACGCATCAAGGAATTACTGATGCTGTTGTTCTAAACTTCAATAGGATATTCAATAAAACAGATGAACTGTTATTTTAAAGTAAAAAATGATTTTTTGGTCAGTTTCTTTAAATAAATGTTTCTTAATTTACTAATCATGTTGTATGTTACCGCTTTTGTTTGTAAATGTCAAACAGCATTGTTGCAGCAATGCTTATAAAGGAGGTAGGATATGTACATAATGTCTCGAGCAGCATCGTGATATCATGATACAGAATCATGTGACATGGTCTGTAAGCATAGAAACAGCTGTATCTGTAAACATAAACATAAGCCTGACATCTAACCTCTGCAGACACTCCTGCGCCTCCTCTCTCTCCCTCTTTCAGTGTTTGTGTCCCACAGCGTGTCACGTCTCCTGCAGGAAATCTCATGTCAAAACAAAGAGCATGGCTGACCTTTGACCCCCCCCTGCGTGTTTAGACGGCTCGTAGAGACAGACTGATGTTATCTCAGAGATAGACGGAGAGCATGGCTGAGAGGAGATTCAGTTCTGGGGACAGCTGATTTAGAGAGCTGAAAACAGAAGAGGCTATTGTGAAAAAAAGTTTTTTTTTTTTTTTTTTAAATACTTGTCTCTCCTTTTTCTGAGTGTGTATTTGTGCAATGCTTCCAGATCAAACCCCAACACCAACAAGATTTCTGCAAAATTGTGAAGAGGTTGGTCTGTTCAAGGAAATCGAGGAGGAATTTCTTCAGGCAGAAGAAGAGGAGAAGAGCAAACAGGTATCAAACCAAACCGAAATAAGCAGAATAATTCTGATTCACAGCTGAGATCGAACTGAAAAAAACAGACAGCATGTATCATCACAATACTTTCTTTTGTTGTGATGGTGTTTGCTTGGCAGGCCTGTCACTTTAGCACTTTGAGTGACACTTTAAAAGCAGCCGGGGGCCCAATTAGACAACTGCAGATATCTGACCTGCTGCAAGGAAAGACACACCGGACGATCACATTCTCCCTGTAAATAAAACAGAGACCATACACACACACACACACACTGATTTTCAATCCTGCTCCTTCTCCCCACAGACACTCTCTCACAATGGGCCATCTTGTATGACCCAGCAGCAGCAGCTCAAACCCCAGCTACAAATCCAGCAACCACATCCCCAGCCTCAGCACCCACCACTGCACCATCCTCAGACCCATCACCTGCGGCATCCCCAGCCTCATGGTCCCCTTATGAGCCCCAGCTGCAGCCTAGCTGCCCAGCAAGCTCTATCTTGCTCCCAGGCTCTGTCCTGCTCCTCAGCTCTGTCCTGCTCCCAGTCTGGATCCGTTATCACCCAGGCCCCTTCCACCCTAACACACTCAGGGTGAGTATGGTCATGGTACACACACACACACACACACACACACACACACACAGTTATATCTCCTGTTAATGCTGCCCTTTCTCCCTCTTTCTTCCTCTCCTGGTCTATATCTCCCCCATACTGTTTTGGACGCATTCAAACTCATATTCTCTGGCACAGTCTGGAACTTCACCCTGCATAATTTATCACTGCACTAATGAACTGTGAAAGGAGGGGGGGAAAAATCAAAGTTTTTAATTTACTGAGAGAACAAAGTCAGAGCAAAAAAAAAAATTGGAGAACTGCTACACAACACCCACTCAAATGCACCGACACCGCCCACTCTGTCCCTGTAATGCAGCCTCTGTTATGTCTGTTAGGAACCAGACTGGAGTCTTTCAGTGCCTGTGAAGCTTCCAGGCTCCCTGGTTATCACCCAGTTCAACACACAGATTAGACCAGTTCCTGTCTTTCATGTGAGCAGCTGTTCTTTCTCTAACAACACACTAATGATTTATGTCATCTGAACATCTTATGACACATACTGAGGGTTTAATGTAAATATTGAGCACGAGCTTCACTTCAACCACACTGTTTGATGAGAACAATATTTTTGTTTTTTGTTTCTGATTTTATTGGTTTTAGTTAGTTGCTGATAAAAAATATAATAATTAGAATTTGGCTTTCTTATCTGGAACTGATCTAAAATGTAGAACTGCAAAGGACAGCTGCATTTGGATCAGTATTTCTAGTTAAGCATTTATAAAATATGTTCATTTTTCATTAATTACATCCTAGAAACTAAAGGTTCCACATGCATATAATAGAATTTACTCATAAACTTTAGCTACTGTCAGGACTTTAACTTTCGCTTCCCTTCTCTTGTCTAATTTAATTCCAGTGGGACTTTTTTTAAAATGCATTTTAAATGTTTTCCCTGCTAATTCTACACTGCTGGCCTACTTAATTATTTTTTTTCCTGGAGCTTTCTTTTATTGTTTTTTTTCCTCTAGTCATAGTTATCACCTCATAAATGAACATGAGCAGCTGCATTCTTGCTTTTTAAGCCTTTTTCGGAGGGCAGACAGCAGACACAGACAGGAAATATGAGAGACGTACAACATGGTTTCTAGACAGAACTTTACTAATACATGGTCGATGCCTTAAAACCGTAACACCAACAGGATTCCTCACAGATTGTAGCACTGTTCTTTATACTTTGTTTAATAAAGAGGAATTCCAAACCTTTTTATTCTATATGCCTTCCTGCCAACCATCAACAGAACTATAACCGATCTCTGCTCAAATTACATACTGTTGATAAACAAAGACTCATATTTAATATATATAAGCTTATATCAATCCGGGTACCAAAAGTAAATCAGTGAAAGACTCATTTCAAACATCTGTCCATTAGCAGACAGGACCCTACAGGACAGTGCAGAAAGAGCTAGCTGTCTATTACTGTGAAGCAAATCAGTGCCAGCTTGCATGTTAGTCACTTAAACCAGCGAGGTGAACCACAGATCTTGTGTCTGACTGTTTCCCCTCATGTTTACCACTGGTTTCCATAGTGACCTAGTTTGAGATTGTCTGGCTTGTGGCCCAGTCGAACTGTTGTGGTTATCTTAGGAAATGCTGCTTTGGTGAGTCTGAACTTTGTTGTATGTTAACTGGGCCGCATACCCAAGATCCAGTGATGACATCATTGTCGATGACCTCAGCGCGGCCACGGAGGCCCACGCTGTCCCGCTGGCTGAGAGCCACAGCGGTTATGTCAGCACATGGCACCCTGGCTCCCCTATATCCCCTGCTGTGATGCCTCAGCTTCTCTCCTCCTTCTCAAGCTGTCACCATTTTCCATATTTCTCTTTTCTCTCACTTTCGTCACACATTCAAAGTTTCCATTTTCAAACGCCTCACACCTCTGTGTACACCTGTCTGCACACAAACAACTCTTCTCTGCCCAGATGCTGAGTGGTGGTTCAATCCATTTTTCTAAACTACATATTTCTCATTTTTCAATTTTGGTTGGTAGCTTTGTAGAAAATGATGGTTTATTATGCCCCCCCCCTCCCACCACCACCACCCATTTTGTTTCTGTACAGTTTTACCTGAGAGATTTCTTATAAGGCAGTCCCAGATCTAGCCAACACCAAATGGCCCAAAAAGAACCCAACATTTCTAGTCCACTTTTTCAATTCCACTTTTAATTCATTTAAATTTAGAAATGCACACAGCTGGATACCTGCATGTGGCCAACAGTTAACACTTAAATTCAGGGTTGGCCTTTTAATTTACTTCAATTGAAATATTTTGTTTTATTAAACGTGTTAGAGTTCACGCAGAAAAACAAAGGTGAAGCATTTAGTCCAAGCCTCAGGCACCAGGCTTCAGCAATTTAATAAAGGCAAAGCATAAAACGGCTTTATGATTCTATTTTTAACACCTATTTAGTCACATTTGTTTGATTTGTTTAAAATCAACTTGAATAACATGATATGTTTTACTTCTTCTAGGTGCATTTAGTTCATTATAAGCTATTTATAAGGACTAATACATCCTGCCTTAAATATAAACCTATTTTGGAGGAGCTGAATATAAATCAAAACCCCAGATAATGTCAAAACACCCAAAGTGTTGCTCAGTTAATAAACCAAAAAAGTTGCTAATCTTAAGTGAAAACAAGCAAAACTGCATACATTTCAACACAGTGGAGAGAAATAGTATGTTGTTATGGAAACAAGTCATTTCAGAAACAAATCCTGGTTATTCTGGGTAATCTGAAGAACAATAGTTATCATAGGACATATTTTTCAGAAGAAAGTTTTTCTTTTGAAAACTGCTGGCAGTGACGTTGGTGGATTACCCAGGGTTACTGGAACGTTGTTTCTGAAAACACACAGGCCTTCAAATATAATTTCTCAATGTTTTGAACATTTTTATCTCCACATTGACCTTTTTTTTTTTCCAAACATGTTAAATCTGTCTTGATCTCACCTCCATCTGCTTTTAAGTCCCGGCTATAAATGTTTCAACTTGCAACTCACTCTGAACCCAGACTAGTGAAACTTTAGCTGTCTGGTATGACCCGTTCCTCTCTCTCCCTTTGGTTGACCACAGACCAGTTCCCGGGCCGCTGTCCTCCCTCCTCCACATGAGGAACAGACACAGACAACCGCTGCCGGCCTCCTTACCTGGCACCCTGCCAGACCCTGCCATGCAAGGGGCATCTGCTCAGCACATGCCTGTAAGTAGAGGAGACTTGGTTTCTCACACATACACATTTGCATTCATGTTTGCATCATGATTTATAGATTACAGGCTGTAGGGGCCAAAGTGGTCAAGATCCCCCGAGTTAGAAATATTCATTGGAGACAGAAAAATTCACTTCACTCTTTCGGATGAATTAATCAAAAGATCCAAAATAATCCTAATGGATGTGACCTGAAGGAAAACTCTTTATCCTTGAGTTATGTTTGTGCTGAAGCTTTTTCTTGTTCAAGTTGAAAGGTTATTTTTGTGTCACATATTTTTCCCATCTTCAGATAGAGAAGCAGATGTCGTGTTTAATGGGTATACCAGGTCCTGTACATAACCCCACCTGCTCCTCGCCTCAGGTACTGACCGGTCAGCTTTAAGCACTCATATTTACTTCCTGTCTCCGTGCTCTTTTCCTTCTCTCTATGGGAATAAAACACTGGTGGATTTAAAAAAAAACTGATACAATCCCTTCACTTCAGACTAACGTTGATAATGATGTTCCCGGCATTAAAGTATTACTTTGCACTTTGGAAATACACTTTTTTTCATTCTGGCAGAAAGGTTGATTGTGAAGATTTATATCAATATCATATTTGTACCACAAATATGAACATGAAACCATAGACTGTATAAAACATGGATGTAGCATCAGTGAGACAATATACAAACACACACGTTTAGCTTGTCTAGCTTGTCTAGCTCGTCATCTAGCTAACATATTTCAAACAATAAAAACAACAAGAACGAAGCTGACAGTTTAAAGTCAGTAACACAATTAGCTAAAGTGAAGCCCGACCTCCTGGCAAACAGCTTTAACTTGCTAGCCTGTCTGTGAAATTAGCCTTAAAAACAAAAACTATAATGTGGGGAGTTATCCCCTCCCTACTTTTTGGCTGGGAGCAGTGACTTCTTTGGATCTGATAAAAGTCTGACAACAGCTAACAGGCAAAAATTGTTAAGCGCAAATAGTTGTTTAGAATATAATTTTTGCTGCAGTTTTAGGGCAAATTAATCACACAATAAAACATATAAGTTCATTTGTGAGCTTTTGATATGCTTGATATTATGTTTTGACAGTGCAGTTTCCAGACTTCCAATGTTGATGCTAAGCTAAGCTAATAAAAATCAAACTACCTCTTTCTACTTTTTTTTATTTTTTAATTTCATTACACTCATCTTTACTTAAAGATTAAAGCCACAAAACAAACTCTTTGGTCCTGCTCAGGATGGCCAGGAAACAGAGTGTAACTCTACACTTTAGAACAAACACACACTCACACGCAAACACACCCAGGTCCGCACCACAGGGCGACAAGCGACACACTATTTCTGGCTATCCTGGATGTTTTTATTTTCCCTTGTGTCAACATGCTTTTGATTTCTTGCGTTCTAAATTTTACATGTCCTCTATCTAGGTGCGTGTAGTATAAATTGTTAAAAATGTGGGCTATCAAAAGCAGCTAGAAAGGGAAAACTGTGAAATAGCCCTGCATACACACCAACACACACTCAAACACGCACAGGTTATGACTTCATGTGCAGAGCTTGTATATAGAGCAGCGAATGAAAAGTGGTTTCAGGTTTCAGAGCCGCTCAGGTCGCAGGTTCAAATCTCTCTCTCTTCTTCTCGTTTGAATGCACAGCCACAATAACTTACTCTTCAGACCCATTTCATTCAAATCCATTGTCATTTCATGTCAGCAAGTGTTGTGATTTTGCATGTCTGAGGTGTGAAACAGTACTCTGCTTCTGTAAAACCACAGGAAAAGTATTAACATGCCTCTGTTGTATAGTAACTCCACACTCAGGCCGAGTGGAAAAGTAAACGTTTGACAAGTGGATCACTGTTTCACGTACAGTTGTGCGTCTTCATTCACTGATCCCTCCAGACAGAAATATCAACGTAGTGTGTCATACAGTCTAAGGAGATCCATGATGTAATGGTGTCAGGGTGTTTCTATGTAGTAAACAGAGCTGAAACACTCGTGTCCCGTCCTGTTCGGTGTGTGTGTGAGGCTGTGCGTGCGTGTTTGACTGGCAGTCTGGCTGGCTGGTTAAGCTGGCACAGCTCAACTCTGTGACCTCATCCTTGGCACCCGCTAAATGTGCTCCCTTTTCTCATTGCTGAATGGTTGAAGGGGGAAAAAGACTGCCTCTTCTCTTAAAGAAATATTGTGTAACAGGGAGCAGATAGCATTAAAGCTAGGGAGGAGGAGTGGGGGGGGGGGGGTGATGTCATGCTCTAAACATGACCTCCTTCTCTCCTGCTTTCTCTGCTGAGTGTAGGAGAAAGGTGAGATGAGTTTTAATTTAGCTCTTACAGTGTGTTTAGTCAGATGATACATGGGAATGATAAAGTGTGAAGGTATCAAGCTGCAGACGGCAGCATTCACTGGAACACATTAACCTACATATCCACAGTCAGAGTCACAGTTGTTGATAATTAGGAGAAATGGCGATGATGCACTAAGTGTGGGAGTGTAACTGAGAGCGGTTATCATTTTGATTTTGACGCAGAGGTGCGCTACTGTGGGAACTCGGGCTTGTATGACCTGAGGTGGCCTGTAGGTTAGGAGCTTATCTGCTACTCTTACAAATTTAGCTTGTGTAAAGGGGTCAAACACACCCCACCCTGTATGAGGGAGATGGAAAAATGTGTATGTACAATCACCTGCCCATTTATAAATATTTTTTTTTATTTAAACATAAAAGTAAAAAACTAGTTTGAATATCCTGTGGTGAATACAGTGACAGTAATAGGCAACATGTAACTTAAATCGTTTGGGAAAAAAATGACACTTTTAATTGATGTTTCATGTCAACATTAAGGGCTTGTTGCTTTTTACATTTTATTAACAAGGGGTTAAATAATTTAAAGTAAGTCAGATATAATAAGGTGCTCATATAGCATAAAAAACATTAGAAAAGTATAATCAGGGCAGAGAAAGAAAGAATGTGTTGGTCCATACAGTGGTTAAGTATCGCAGTCTGAGTAGGCCTGCGTGGTATGATACAAATGTTTACAATGTGCAAAATCAAAATTCAATACTGCTATAACAAAATGACTTACAGTTCTTTTCTTTGTACTTTTCTTCATGTTTCATACAATATCTGTGATTGCCACACGTCTATTTTCTCATTTAATTGGCACCAGTTAATCTTAAGTGTCTGATAAATTGTGCTTCAGCTGACTACCTCAAAGATGTATAAAAGTATTGCCATTATACCCAGGCCTCCATCCAATGGGGTAAAAAGTACACATGCTGAGTGAGAAAGTATTTCTTGTATACAAAGATTTTTTGTTCTCATGTATTGCCAAATACTTAAATTGTGACAATGATGAAAATGTGATTCCACAATCTTAAATCAGAGTAAAAGTCAGTAGTTTCAAAGAACTCAACTCCAAATCCATCTTATAATTCAAATGTTTAAATTATTTCTGTATTTTTTTTAACAGCTTAAATTAACTTGCAATGCACATAAGTCGTGAAGTAACTTGTGATAACGCTCCAAAGGAAATGCGATTTAGATGAGAGGATGTCAAAAGAAAATGTTTTATCCTTCTTTAAGACTTGATGTGAACAACTCTTTGTCTCTGTGAAAATAGAACTGGCTCACAGCAATTACAATTCTCCAATAGAACTTTTTTTTTAAGTTGATAGATACTTTAAAGTGTAAAAGGTTCTCTTCATTTATTGGATTTTTGTTCAACTTAAAATGCTCTGCACAGTGCATCACGTTCACCTCCGTTTTTTTTCTTTTCTTCATTTCCTCTCAGAGATCCAAACAGACACTGGGGCATCATTTCCAACAGCACCACCCAGGAATGGTCAGCGTCAACAACCCTGCGACATCCATGGGCCACATGATGGATATGATGACACAACGTCATCAGGCCCCTCCGCTACAACACCACCACCATCCTTCGCCTTCCCATCATCACCATCATCATCAGGCACAGCTTCCAACCCAACACATCCCGTACCAACCGCGATGCCATGCTCCATCTCCGCAGCATCTAGGAAGCCCCCACAGGCACCAGCTTCACCAGTCAGTGAATGTACCACACGCTCAGGCTCACCAATCACCTCCTCCCCATATGCATCAGGGTTCGCCTCCTGCACCTCCTCTGTCTGTTCCCCCACAGGTACGATGCACTAAAATGATCATTAATCACCATGTATTCTGATCGGACAAGAGGCATTCCATGAGTGTAGTTATAGAGTACATCAGCTGTATCTGTTGGCTAAATGTATTGCTCCATATCAGATGTTCTGGGTACCTGGTATCTCTGAAAGATGCCATCAAACTAATGTCAATAGATTAGTTTATTAGTTGTTGCAAAGAAATGGTAACATAACAGACACATGTTCATGATACAGATTAGGAGGTCTGCATTAGCCTCTGGCAACAGTTCATTTCCAATCACGTTTTGGAACTAGTTGACTGGTGTTGAATTAATGATTAAAGGGGACATATTATGAAAAATCCACTTTGACAGTGTTTTTGAACATATATTTGGGTAACCTGAGTGTCTACTGACCCACAAAATGTGAAATAAATCCATCCGGTCCTTTGTTTGTAGTCTGCATAGGTCTTACAACGCGGAGAAAAATGCTCTGTTTCAAATTTGCTCAACTTGTGATGTCACAAGTTGGATTCTGGTCAAAAAATACACAACCCCCCTCCCCTGATATCTCCACCCATGGACTCCATCCCTAGCCTAGAGCAAAACTTTTGCACAGGTCTGCCATTTTTATTGAGGCATGAGGAGTGATGTCTACCGGGAAAACTCAGAGGGGTCTCATTGCATTTAAAGAGACACACACACCAAAACGAAGCGTTCTGAGAGAGCTGGTTTATACAGGGTCACAAACCTTCTCTGGTGCTTGATTCATGTTATACTTTGACCATCCTTGTACAGCACAGATGTTTCATTTAGACCACAGGGGACGGTTTGAAAAAGTGGAAAAGGGCTATAATATGTCCTCTTTAATACAAATTGTAAAAAAATAAATAAACAATATCGTGCCTATGGTCTTACTATTGTACCAAATAATAGCATGGCTGTAATTATCCATGCTAATGAGGTGTAACAGCATTTCCTCTTGAGTAATATTAATGACACAATACCTTCAGTTGGCTTTAAAAGTTTTTTGATCTGTTTTGCAGTTATCACCAGTTGCCCAGCAGATGCAACACTCACAGTCACCCCAATCCCAGCATGCAGTGCAGGTTGGTGGTAGCTGCAGCGGAGGAGTAGGAGGCGGTAACCGTCGCAGGAGGACAACAGAGCAAGACCCTGATGAGCGCCGACAGAAGTTTCTGGAACGTAACCGGGCTGCAGCCACACGCTGCCGACAGAAAAGGAAAGTGTGGGTGTCCTCTCTGGAAAAGAAAGCCGAGGAGTTGACGCACACAAACCTGCAGCTACAGGTGAGACACGCTCTAACAGGTATACACACGCAACCACTATCTACACCGGGAGGATACTTAAGTGATTCTCTGTTTGTTTCCAGAATGAGGTCACGTCGCTGCGGTCGGAGGTGGGTCAACTGAAGCAGATTCTGCTCACACACAAGGACTGTCCCGTCACCGCCCGGCAGAGGGAGGCGCAGGGGTTTCCCAGTGAGTAAAACTCTCTACCCTGCACCCCCCCCCCCCCCCCCTAGAAACCTCACCAGCTTTTACCAGATGCCTGACACCGCCTTACACCTTGTACATGCTCACAAGGGAGTCTGCCATGGTTGAATTTTGTCTTGTTATGAAAAAAAAAAACCTCCTCAGCAACACAAGAACCCTGAGCTCCTTCTTAAAAAGTGAAACTAAGCAGCACTTAGAGTAAAAACTCAGCTTCTGACCCAACACTCACCAATGATTGGTACATGCACTTTTATTCCTGTGGAGAGCCAAACAGGGGGAAAGCACTGCACTCTTGACTCTCGTTTTAAAGGATCAGCTTTTTCATTATCACTTTCATGCTCATTTGATGAACCGGACCTTGATGGTATTTGAAATAATCTGGAGTGCAATGCAGTATTCTGGGAATGGCTGTTTTGCCTTGCATGACGCTAGCTTGCAACAAAATTCCGATCATGCACATCTTGCACACCAGTCAGGTTAAGGTTAATGTTCAACACTAACTGGACCTGCATGTGACCTATGATGAAAGAAATTGAGAAAATACTGCACCTTTTGTCTTCAGTGAGGGTAGCCATTATGTTTTAAGTGTTAAGAACGCTTCAGAGAGCAAAGGACGGATGCAATACTGGCCGTGTGTTATATTCCTATATGTCTAATGTTGTCTTTCTACCTGTATTTGTTAAAATAAAAGAGATATTTTCCTTAAATCTAGTGGCTTTTCATTCATTTGCATACTTGTTGTGCTCACAATGCACAAATCACAGAACGGAGAAACCACACTGGATTGACTGTGATTGACAGCTGTCTCTGTGTCCAGCTGCAGGGGTGAGCCCAGGAGGAAGTCCCACCCCTGTAGGTCCTGGGTCTCATCTGCAGGCCATCCAACACAACAGCATCTCCACCTCCTCGACACGGGGCACGACCTCCAGCTGGGACACCAACCTGCAACATACAGAGGAGGGGGAGGGTCTGGAAGTGTGAATCGCATTAGACTTGATGATCTATCTGTCATAACTACACCTTAGTCTCACTTGGATGTGGATCCATGTCTCTGTCCATTAAATACAGAAATACCACTAACTAATACAAAATCCATAACTGGTCAAAAGCAGCCTTTTCTGCAAGCCTGTGATGGTAACGACTGGGTAATCCTGTGTTTATTCAGAAAATATCACTCTGTTTAAATCAATTTCACCCTCGCCTTCTACACACTGACATTGCACAAACACAATCCTTTCAGTATATTTTGCTTCTATACTTTGCACTAATTTAAAAATCAAAGCTCATGTATTGGTTTTATATTTGTAACTAAGCTTATGCAATTGCACACCCTATGCCTTCTCTGTGACGCAGAGGTAGCTTATCAAAACTTTGTATTTTTCTACAAGTATTCAAAGGACAAAAAAATGTTTTATTTAGATTTCAAACCCAGGTTCGTCTCAGAAAGCCATTTCAGAAAATGATTGTATAGAATTTCCCCACAAGCACTTCTTTTAAAAACTACCCTGAGAAGGTAAATAGCTTAACATTTTACCTCACGTCTCAGTCCCTGTCAGTTGATAAAATAAACCTTGTTTTCTGGTATTGTTTTCTTAATGTCTGTTTCAAGTAGTTTTGATGAAATTAAGTAGTTTTATTTTGAAATTGTTACATTTATTTTGACACGCCAGCTATGAATGTTCATACAGTATGGTCTAGTCTGCCATCTAGTGACTGCTCCTGTTATTGAACGTTAACTATAATGGAGTGGTTAGCACACAGGATTAGAACTTGTTTTAGATTGCTCCAACACAAACAAATATATATTTCTTTATTTTTTGTACACAAAAACACAGTTTGTATGGCCTCTTGTTTTTTAATTACACTTTTAATTTGGCTAGTTTGATATACAATTAGTAAAGGGAAGTGTGCACTAAGAATACTTAATGTAAACAACTCAAAACGTTGACATGTTTTTTTTATTTATGTGAAGAGTGTTCCCATCTGATTTTTTGACTATCTGTTGATATGAAAATATTTTGTGTGCGTGCGTGTATGCATGTGTTTGTGATTTGGTGTGGGAGACACTCCACCCTGTCTACTCAAACAAGGGGACTGCTTAACTATTGCCAGACCTCATCATGACACGCAGGCAAAAGAATTGATGCACATTCATACTCTCTTACTTCTCTAACACCCTTTTATCTTCACCAGCCTCTCACACTGCATAGGCCTCACTTTAATGCACTGAGGATCGGCTGAGGAGGAAGAAGAAAAAAAAACGTTGATTTCTCCATATTTTAACCAAGAAAAAATACATGATATTTCAGGGCAGCAGGCCTTTGCTGGCCTACTCTGACAAGTCATAAAATAACTATATCATAAAAGAAAAACCCAACCTGAAGCTCTAGAGGTTAATGCAAGCAATCATTGCAAATTAATTCCTTCTTTTTTTTTTTAGATAAATTATCAACAAGAAAACATTTATTAGTTCCCATTATCTCCAGAAATAGTCTCCCGCTATAAATTAACATTGGCTCACATAAAAGAGCCAATGGAGCCAGAGAGAGCTTACTGCTTTGGGGCAGCTGTGGCTCAGTGGTAGAGTTGGTCGTCTCTCAACCATGGGGGTTCAATCCCCTAGCTCCTTTAGCCACATGTCAATGTGTCCTTGGGCAAGACGCTTAACCCCTAGTTGTGTGAATGTGTACTGATGGACACTAAACATAGCAGCCTTTGTGATCTACCTGTGGTGTAAAAACTATTTGAGTAGTCAGAAGACTAGAAAAGCAATATACAAGCTCAAGTCCATTTACCATTTAGCATGTGCGTATGACAGCGTATACGATCCATAAACACTCAAATGACAAATTAGTCACATTGTTGGGGATTTTACTTCTTCATGTAATGCAACATTTTATGAAAAGTATAAAAGACTTACAGATGTGATACAAAACAAGTGTTTTTTTTTTCCCTGCCAACCAGCAGCCATCATTACAAACTGTACAACAACAAAAAATCAGACAATATGATGTCTGTGAACTCAAATATAGCACCATAGTTGAAATCAGTGATGAATCTTTCATACACACATACTTGCATTCAAAAACAAATAAGATGTTCAGAGACATTTGCAGGTGCAAGGAAATGAAAGAGGAAAGGCACAAAGAAAGCAAGAGGAAGTCAGAGGGATTGGGCTTCCTCTGGTGTCTGAAAAGGCACTGATGAGCTCAGCTGTTTTTTCTTGTCACTGAAAAAGGTCTTTTGTGGTCAAAAAATAACCACAACACAATCACAACACACCACAATCAGGGTGGGATTGTGCATTGGGTTTGTCCACAGCCACAAGTAGGCATTTTTAATATAACTATACATCTGGAAGGTGGACATGATTCTAACTATAAAATATCAATATCTTCCTGTTTTAAAGTGTATAGATTTTATGAACGTATTGGCTTTAGTCAGAGAATCTCTGCATGTCACTGTCTCTGCGAATGCTGCTGTTGTCAAGGAAACGGTCACAAGGAAACTCGATGAGGTCCCCTTCCTCTAGTGGTGCTAGTCGTGCAGGTCGACTGCTTTGATAGCTGGTGAAGTCAGCGGACAGTGAGGCGGTGGCCATGGTGGGACGGAACGGTCGCCTGGTGGAGTACATGTGGCGCACGTGGACGGCCGACTTCCTCCTCTGCAGCCTCCTCTTCAGGCCCCGCCCGAGCCAGACGCCGCCAACGACGAGCAGCAGCACGGCGTTCCCAGCCAGTGTGGCCACCGTCACCAGCTGGAGGTCTGAGGTCAGAACACCCTCGTCGGGGAGAGTGACCAGGCCTGTGCAGTGGTCACGTGGTGCAACCTGACAAACGGACCCACCCACCACGCCTTCCACACACACCATGTAAGTCACGTCTGAGCTCAGCTCTCGCAGGGTTACGGAGCGAGCCGTGCCACGGGTGTAAACGTAGCGGGGGAAACGGTCTGGAGTGCCAAACCTGTCGAATAGAATCCGATAGTGGACTTCTTCCAGGCCGGGCCCGAGTCCTGGCGTGTAGCGATGATGATCCCTTGTGGTCCAGTAGACGGTGACCGTACTGGACGTCACTTCATCCACCGAAACATTTGTGATGAAATGGCGGTTGAAGATACATGGATCTGTGATTACAGGGAGAGCCTCCTCATGGTCTGACCTCAGAAGATCAAACTTTCCTCTGGACTGGACTGTGGTGAATCCTGTGTTCGGATCAGTGGTGTTCCCGTCTTGGGTTCCAGCAGGACTTGGTGTAGAAGTTACAGGTGGATCAGTTGTCGTCACTATATTTGACCTTTGTCTTCCCTTTGCACGTTTCCCAGCAGCCTCTTTCTTTGGTTTCCTTCTCTCCTGTAAAGATGAGGATGCTGCCACCTCTGGACCCCCTTGGTCTCCCTGGATTCCCGCCTCCTCCCGACCTTGTTGTAGCATTTTGGCTTCCTCTTTCCTCATTATAGACCCATCCCGATTCCCACGTCTCAAATGTATACCTTCTGTCTCTACTCCCTGGCCTCCTTCATCCCTCTCCTTCTGCTTGATTATCATTCCTTTTCCTTTCACCTCAGTCTTCAACATCACCCCCCTTCTCTGCCCTCCTCTGGACCAGCTTGGCTCTTACACAAGTGGGTCCAGTTCCCGAGGGGCTGCAGCTGGGAGCTGTTCACATAGTCCAGATATTTCCCCCTCAGAGTTGTTGGGTAATGACACTGCACAAAAACAGTCAACAATTTGCCCTGGGAGTGCGCAGCAGTCATCCATCTTTTCAGCTCCTCAAGGCGACAGTCGCACGTCCAGTTGTTGCCATGGAGATCCAGGTCGTAAAGCACGTTGTTGAGGGAAAAAATGTCCCCTGACAGGCTAGTAAGCATGTTGTTTTTCAGCTTCAGCACCCTCAGATGTGTAAGCTGAGAAAAGGCTAAAGAGTCCACATTGGAAATACGGTTTCGGCTAAAGTCCAGCTCCTCGACGCTCTCTAGAGAGTCAAGCAGACCGGCTGGGATTTCCTCTAGCTCGTTGCCGTCAATCAGAAACTCTCTGAGGCAAGACAGCCCCTTCAGAGCTTCGCTGTCCAGACGAGAGATTCTGTTGTTACTGAGGGACAACTTGGAAAGCTTCTTCAGATTTTGAAAGACGTGGTTTCCTACGTATTGAATTTCGTTGTCAGACAGCAGCAAAGTTTTCAAAGCTTTGAGTTGGGAAAAAGTGAGAGCATTGCGCACGGCTGACTGCTTGTTGTGCGCCAGGTTTAGAAAGCGCAGGTTAGTGAGTTGACAGAAAGCGTTCCTGTGAATGTGCTGCAGTTTGTTGAATTCCAGATGGAGATAATGTAGACTGGGCAAACTTTTAAAAACGGAGTCCTGCAGAACTTCTATCGAGTTGCCATCAAGGCGCAATTTAACAAGATTGCCCAAGTTGGCAAAGAGCTCCGCCGTGATTTTGTTGATGTCATTGTTATTCCCATAGAGAATAGTTAACTTCTTGAGGGGCTGTAACGTCCCCGTGGGCATATTTGACAAAAGATTATGTCCCAAGTAGAGCTCTTCCAACTTGGAGAGCTTCTCAAATGCCTTTAGGTGAATGGTTTGTAGTTGATTGAACTGTAAATTCAGTCTCACTAGGTTACTGTACCGTGTGAAGTCGAAGGCAGAGATGTTACTAATGAAGTTGCCCCCCAGGCTGAAGATTAGCACCTCCTCGGACGTCCGCGTGCCAGGTTTTGGAACAGCGTGCAAGCCGCGGTTGGTGCACATGAGGTGGTGGGGGTGCTGACAGTCACAGCGGTCGGGACAAAAGCTTGGGGCCGGTGAAGACGAGATAAAGCCATTGAGCGACAGCAGAAAAAAGAAAATCCCCGCCAGGAAATTGCCGGTATCCATCCCCGTAGTGCGCCTGGCACAGCCAGGGACTGACGCAGCATTCGTTTTGTGTATTTCAGGTGAAGTCGCCCCTCTCCTCTCTTACGCTGCAGGTCCACACGTCCATGTTCCACTTGTTGTTCTGAGTAGTGGAGAGACACATCAAGCACACGGTTCCATCACTTAGCATCATCTAAAGCGCAAATTAATTTGTGCAGTGCGCTCTGGTACTGGCCCAGTTAAGCCTCTATCCCCCCAAGTGGTCATCTGCAGCGAATTACAGAGTTCCGCAAAAAGAGAAAACAGAGTTCAGGCATAGAGTGTGCACACACACACACACACACACACACTCACTCACTCACGTTAACACACACTCAAGTAGTCCCTCCCCCGCAACTCTGCGACCCTGCCAAAAACAGATGTGCACCAGTCTTGACGCACGAGATGCACGCAGCTAATCACACGCGCGCGCACACACACATACACGCGCGCACACACACACACACACACACACAGACTTTACAGTGAGAGAGAGGGAGGTTGAGAAAGCCTTTGACCGAGTTTCCTGCGCGCCCCCGCAGCCACCGGGGGTCTGAGATCTGGATTAGATCCCTGGTATGGACAAAACAGTCAGGAAGATTTCCTTCCCACGGAATCCTGAGAGAATTACTCCAAAGTCTCGGATTTCCTCGCAGCGGGGAGCAGGTAGAGCAACCCAGAGAAATAAAGTTGAACGAAATGCTGTGATTCAAATCGTCATTTGTTAGCTATAAAAATGATTATTCATAAAATAGCTGTAGCACAGCGGACATCCACGTGATGCATTCTGCAAGCCAGAGGACACCAAACATGAACATTGCTTACACAAAGTGACCATAAACGACACTCATCACATCAGCAGTCTGTGAAGTACACTATTTTCATGCAGCTCAACTATAATTTACCATTCTCTCATTAACGCGCCTGGCCGGGGCCATAAGGAGCACAGATGGTACACATTTGCAGATTAGGAGTTTGGTTCGTGAAGTGTGTGACTGGGTCTGACGAGGAGAGGTGCCAAATCTGAGGGAAAGATCTCTGACTTGAAAGTGGGGAAATAAATGCGGGATGAGGAAAGCATGAGAAGTTTGTGTGCAGAAATTTGCAGAGTGAGGAATGAATGTCTACAGTGTACATGAAGGTTAATGTTCCAGTCCAGTTTGTACAGCAGGAAGTGTTACTGCCAAGACATCTGAGCATGTATGGTAGCCTGCATGTGGTAGAACGCTTATTGACATGCACACAACTTCATGTTAGATCAGTGGTTCCTACTGAGCTCAAGCTTTTAATGACTACAAATGTCATGTTAAAAAAATGCCTAAATAAGCCATTGCTCTGAATGGTAACCTATTTACTTGTTCTCTTTTTTCCTCAGTTGAGTCATCAAATATGTTCCCTTTCTTCATGTGCACTAGACTTCTTCGAGTGGCAACACCCAAAACATTTAATTTACATTTAGTTTACTTTTGAATTCACCATTCAATTAAATTTTTGCTAACCACTGCTTATTCATTAACTTTGGCTTTAACTTTACCATACAAAAAGTAAATGGATAATATTGCTTGTAGCTAGGCTAATTAAACTGAAACTGTATTAGGCTATATTTAACTTCTTCTTTTGTTTATACCAAAAATGTGTATGGCTTATTTTAAACTAGGTCTGTCAGCATTAACTAGTTAACTGTGTAAGTTAAGTTAATGCTTTTTTAAGTCCCAATCAATCACATATTTAACGCTATATTGTCCCTTTGGGCGCACTGTGGATAAGCCCCCGTGTATTAACTGTTCCTTTGAGCTGTTTTTATCAAGTTTTTTGATTTAGTTAGCATTAGCTAACTGTTTCAACTTTCAACCCCCTTGCTTTCAGCTTACAGTCTAACAGTTTCACAATTTCAACTTATTCATCTTATTAACAAGTAAAGTAATAAGTACTTTAGCTTCTTATCCATTATGCTATCCTAAACTACTTTGAGTTATCTTGAACAGTTATTACTTCTTGGTTTTTAGCTTGTTTATCCAGTTGTTACTTTTAGCTTTTTGAGGTAGCCTATTTGACTGGTACTCTCAATTGCAACATTTGATGGGAATTTCAAAAAAAGTTGTATTTTTCAACTAAGGGAAGAATAAGCAGTCATAAATCACAGTCACACAGACACACTCATGCACATACAGATGCATTTCCCCTTGAGAAGCAAGGGAAGCAGAGGTTTTCTGTGCAGAGCTGTAGTGCCTTTCAGCACAAAGCAGAGACTCCAAACACTCCCTGATTGGACTCAGTCTCATTCATATATCTGTTGGAAGACTTTATAGGCAGACATTATAGCTGTGTATGACTAAGGGTCTGTACATGAGCGGCAGAGAGAAACACAACCCTTGGGGAAGCCCCCTCTCTCTGGGAGGTCATTTCCTGTCTAGGAAGAAATCTCTCCATAGTATCGCTGCACCTCTGCTTGCTCATCTGAACCCCAGGAACACACACATTGACTAAACAATCAATATGGCCTCACACACACTGGGACCAATCCAGTTTTTTATAACCATCAGCTGGTCGCTGTCTAAGTTGAAGGTAAATCACAAAAACATGTCATCAGCGAAGATGGCCTTTTTAACGAAGCAGCCGGAATAGCCAGTTTAGCTTTAATTGATTTATATTTCTGGCTGTATAAGAGTGAACGATTTGTTATCTAAATATATAAAGCCATCCGAGAGAAATGAGAGCATGAGATCAGGGGTGGATAGAAGTGAGCAATGTTAAACTGAAGCAGACAGATTGTTGTGGGGGAAAAGTGTTCTGGAGTTGACCCAGTTTTACAAAGAAACTGGCACAAAAAGCAAAATCGAGGACCTTGAACAGAGCTGTCTGCCTCTGTGCCTGCACACAATGAGGGCTGCAAACTTGTTTTACCAGCACATCCTTTCATCACCTTTTTCCCTCCCAGCGGGCCTCTCACTGTCCAATCAACCGGCCATATGACATTTCAGTCTGCACAGAGACACAGAGTATGTATGCGAGAGAGTAACCTAAATCCATCAGGAGGAGAGTGAAAGAAGGGCTTTTATAGTAGGTCTGCACCTGAGCTGCCTCTTTCATGGGACTGCCAAATTTTGTGTATGTGTTGCTGCATAAAATAAAGACGATCCAGGTCAGTGCAGGGCGAATTTGTGTGTGTATGCATGTAAATGAGACGCTGCTGCTGTGGCGTAAGTAGGTCGTCCGAGGGTGTTACATTTCTCCTGCACAGTCTTCAGGTGTTAAGATGATTTAGGGTGTGTGACGGCAAGGAAGAGTGGTTGTCTGCGGAGGCAGTCTTGCACAATTGATGGTAAGCATCATTATACAATGAGGTGGAATGTAGCTAAATGCATGTATTCTGTAACTGAGGTTTTACATTATCTGGCTCACTGTATTGAATCTTATGAATCTACTGAATATATTTAAACAAATACATACTATATTAAAAAAGAAAATGCTGTACATGTATTTTCTCCCAAATAGCCCCTTTCACAAAAGGCACCTTCTCTTGTCATAATAAGAAAAGTGCAGATGTAAATAATATCATTAAACAACAGAAAAGATTGTTTTCATGTCTAAAATGACTCCCTATTTACTAAACAGTACTTTAATTGTCTGCCATTTTATTAAGGGGTTGGATTTTGAGTATGCTAATTTTATCCACTCCAAAGTGCTCTTAAAAGTTCCCTATGGAAACAGAAAGGCAGTGTCCGTGAAGGCTACCATCCCATAATGCATTGCACCACATTTCAGAAGAGACATTTGCAGTTGCATAGCTCTACACCTGGCAGTGATGACACAAAAAGATGATTTAAAATTCAACAAAATAATCTCAACTAGCTGCTCACTATACAGGGGGGCCCATGACTTCAGTGATGAGCTAACAAGGGAGGTATTTTGGACAGAACCCACGACCCTGAACCTGACGACTAATGGTATGTATTTACACATGGGCTTTTCTGTGATCATCAGTGGAAAGGGCCTGTTTATTGAATGGCCTTAATGCTAAACAGACCTCCATTCAAGGACATTGAACCCATTTGAGAAGCTTGTAACTGTATCATTTCACTTTCATTAGCAGACATGGTTTTGTTGCAATGTATTCACTCTTTACTTTCCAAGTAAGTGGACCTAGAGTGGAGTCTGTTTGTCAACTTCAACTTCTGATGTTAAGACCAATCTGTTAAGCTTTTCTTTTAGAGAAGACCTTTAAGTTCTCAGAAAAGTTAAGCACTGATCCATGACCTCTAAAAGACAGCCGTTGAGGTGGCAGAAAAACTAAAAAACATTGACATAACATGACACTGAAAGAAGATTGGTTGCTCGACATTACAGCATGGTGTTGCATTGCAGTTCATGGTAGCATGATTCAATTAAAACAAGTAGAGCCATATGATGTTAAGATGCTGCTTGTATCAGTGTAATGAACAAATATTGTGACGCATGTCTAGCTTAGCATTAAGAGCTTGCCAGATGTACACAAAAAGGGATTCAGCACTGATGAAAATAGCAAACATGCACCTATGGAATGACACTGTACATAGAAGTGATGTCACTGTCTTGTATACTACACATGTAGACATATAAGAATGTATATAATATATACCCTGCAGGACTGGCGGAGTAAGGGACTAATGAGCCTCATACAAAGGCCCAACCTTACAGGGAGTTGTGCTGGTGGAAACATGTGTGTTGTATTGTATGCAGGGATCATAAAGTCTCTCTTTTCCCCCTGTGGGCCTAACATACATCAGAGAGAAAATGTGCAAGGGACACATCCTGGTAACATAACACTGCATGAAACTAGCGGATTATCACAGTAATCCATGAAGGATGCGCCACAATGAAGATGAACAACATGTTTGATCCTCCAACAGAGCTGTAATCAATAGGAAATGAGTCAAACTAATAACAGATTGCGTTGGTGTGTGGTAATCTTGTAAAGCCTGTGAGGGTCTATATTATGCATTTGGGTGCGTTTGAACTTTTTCTTAATTTCTTAAGGAACAAATGTGCAGAGACAAAGAAAAGAAAGTAAAGTAAAGTAAAAGGAAGGAAAAGAGGCAATGAGGAGGTTGGATAGTGTGTGTGTGTGTGTGTGTGTGTGTGTGTGTGTGTGTGTGTGTTTTTATGTGTGTGTAAGGAGAGTTTACATGAGCAACAGCTGCTGGGATCATTAAGTACTTTAGCTAAGTCTGGGAATAACAGATCTAGTCCGTGTTCATGTGCATTAACAGTGTGTGTGTGTGTGTGTGTGTGTGTGTGTGCACTAGTATATTTGTGAGTGCATGAGTGAGTGTGTTTATGCTCTTAGACAGAGATGGTGAAAGACTGTCCACTCAGTGAAACGTGTCTGCAGCTCCACTGAAATGTGGCTGATAGCAGAGATGGAATATGTTCAGTGTACTGTTTTTCCAAACAGAAAATGCAGCCACAATTTTAGGCACGAAAATGATATAAACTATAGAACAAGAGTGGAAGGAACTCCTGGGTCCCTGTGCTTGTGACCCTCCACGTACTAACTACTCAATTGCTCAACTCCCCCAGGTGGTTCCAATCCAGGAATAGGAGAAAAGGAGGGAAAGATGGAGGGAAAGAACAAGGGGAGACAAAGAGAAACTTCTCTACGAACCATCACTCTGAATATCCACATTCAAATCAGAGCAGCAGGAGCGTGTCACACAAACAGCGCCGTGGACCGAATGGCTGATTGCAAATAAAACAAGCACATCATGCAATGTGGGAAATGCGTTTGCCTTTGCATTCCTTTCTGCTTTGGGAGAGCTCCAACCTCTCCTCTCTTGCATGACCTCCCGGGGTCATGTTTTGTCGTTGCGACCAATCTGCTGAAAAAGTCTGGGGGGGGAGAAAGAGGGAAGGAAAAAAAAAGAGAGAGAGAGAGGGAGGGGGAAGGTGGAACTGTCAGGGTTTCAGTCGACCCTATGAGAGTTCAGAATGGAAGGAAAAGAGCAGGGAAAAGAGGAAGGGATGTACATCTGGAAAAAATTAGAGAGCATGCGATTGCCCTGTTGAAAGGGTGGAGTGAGTGGAGGGGGCGATAAGGGGAAGGAATAAGGAGAGTGCAGTGTAAAGGATAGAGTGTGTGTGTGTGTGTGTGTATTGCGAGGACAATGCTTTGATGCAGAGAGTTTGATAGAAACTGTCTGCATGCACATAATTAACCTCAATCACATAATGACACAAAGAGAACATAATGCCTCCAGATCTAAAGAATCCAGAGTGGCACAGAAGATAACACTCACGCTCAAGGACTTGGAAGTCTGTACAGAGCTGCATAAAAAAACATCTGCATGCATGCACACACACACACACACAATCACCCTCATGTTACACTCAGGCTAACACAATGCAACGCGAGTAAAACAAGAGCAGAGACAACGTCGGCCTTTATGACTCACAAAACAAAGTCGCCAGTCAGTAATTTGGAGAGCTAAGACATCTGATCTGCAGCTGTCGAGTCTGAGTTCCCACACACTGCTTTTGTGCAACATCGCCCTCTGCAGCTGAGGAAATGAAAAGCAAGAGAAGGCACCAGTTAAGTTCTAATGTTTAAAAGTGTTGATCCTTTCTGAAAACCTTTTTTTTCTGGTATCCTCCTTCATCATAGAGAGGTCAGAGTAGGATACTACTGAGAGGCTGAAGATGGGGCAAGTGTTTTCAGGCTAATAATGAAATGAAAGCTCGTTTTTATATATGAATGCACCACAACAATGTAATGTAATTGTATATGGTTAGGTTCTTGAGACATCTTTATTCTTACCCAATCTTGTGGCCCCTAAATTTAAAGGAATAGTTCAACATTTTGTAAAAAAAAAAAAAAAAACCTGCTTTATTGTGAAGAGTGAGATAAGGATAACTGATACCACTCTTATGTCTGTGTGCTAAAGCAACCTAGCTTAGCAAAAAGTAACAAATGGCAAGACTGATATGTTAAACAAGTTATAGGGGGGGGAAAAAGGAAACAAAATCTGCCCACTTGCACTTCTAAAAGCTCATTAAGTAACACATATTTAGTTTGGTCAATCAATACAGTACACTCAACACAGGACATTATGTCCTGTATAAAATCCAGCAGGTTGTTTTAACTCTTTATATAGGGTTTGGTCATGGGTTTAAAGTTATTGGAAGTTTGCATGTTGCAACACAACGCATGGATTAAACAGCCAACTAAGATAACCTATGGCGCTTATTAATGTTGTGCTTAAGTAATGCCTTTCATACGAATTTTACTGAATACAATTCTGCTAAATCAAACGAGTTGCAGATCTCAAACTAGTACAAACCCAACACACACAGAGGGTCAGGGGTTTTTCGAAGGAAACTAGGGGTCAGTAAGGCCCCACACATAAAGCCCCCCTTGTTGGTTAATTGGCCTCAGGAGCAAAGGTCATGTTCAGCTGTGGAACAGGGATGCAGTCAGCGCCAGCTCGAATGCTCCTACACTTTTAAAATAGATGTCCTCAAGTTGAAGGGAACTTTTACTCTCTGCTCTACAATTTGAGGGGAAATTGCATAGTGCATGAAGAGCTGAGTAAATGACCCATTTTTATTTTATGCTGGGAAAACCTCATTCAGACTTTTTCCTGCAACTTGTGCTCTTTTTTTTTTTTTTTAACAGGAATCCACATGGGCTCAATGACAAACTGCAGCGCTTAAGGCAAGCAGCATTTTGAGAGTACAGCAAAAATCTGCCAACAGTATGTGTTCAATGTGCAGTAACTGTATTCAACCTATAGATGACACTATAATACACAATCTGCTCAGTGCTAGTGTGTATTTCTGTGTAAGTGACAAATGGTGATAGGAATCTAAATAGAAACTCAAAGCAAAGACTTAAGGAGTGTTATTTATCAGATAATGATCTCACTTATGACGGTCTCTTCTTCATTTTTCCTTTGTCCTTAATAATCATGCTTGAAGAAATTGTTTTAAAGTCATCACCTGTGTATGTACCAGTTTACTTCTTCACTGCGTATCTGTGTGTGTAACCAGGCGGGGTTTGTCAGGTATGTCAAGGTGTGTTTCCTTGTACAATTGTGCACTGCTTTAAGGGAATCCAGCTGGTGTCTGGCACAAAAACATGTAACAATTTCCCTTCATTTGTGTATCCTGTTTTAAACATCACATTTCTGCATATCAGACATTCCTTTCACCTCCAAACACTGCCATTAGTGTTGCTGGCTCTAAATCTCAGGACACACCCAACCTTCCCTTTCAAAGACCTTTTTTCCCCTCTATTATATGTTTTCCCTTCCCTGTGTTGCCATAGAAATATGCCTTGGCAGGAAGTGACAGCCTCATGCCCATGCAAAGGAGGAAATTTGTTTTGTTGGGTAAACAAATTCAAGACATGAAGGTGGTTCGCAAGGACAATGGAGGTGAACAGACCGAGCAAGGCTTTCTGTACAGATATCTTCAGTAGCGAAAGTAGGGAGAAAAAAAAAAAAAATAACCATGCTCATTTTGTTCACCCACACACTCAGTCTGTCTGGGGGCATTCACACAACTTCTCTCACTTACTCATCGTCTCGGCAAACAGTCTGCACTTGTTGGTAAAGTCGGCTTTTGCAATCAGAAAGTCTGAGGAAAAAGCACCAAACAATCTGTCATCAGACAAGCGAGACATACTGTATCTCTAAAAAACCAACTGGGTTTTATTTATGAACAAGCTGTTAACATCAATCCATAATAAGTCATAGCATTTGACTCGTTTTTCAGCAAATGTGACAAATATCCCTCCACAGAGATAACAAAAAAGCTGATTTCCTGTGCCTTTATTGATACTCAACAAGGTTTTAGAGAGATGCTCACACAAAATCAGCAACTCAATGACACCTCCCTGACTATGGGAAACTGTAGGCCCCCATTAGTCCTTCTTCACTATTAGTCCATGGGCCAGACCAGAATCCGGTACCACTCAAGGTGGCAAAACTTGGTGATGATTTTTGAAAATGTCCATGTCTGTAGATCATATTTTGGTATGATAGACTTTCCTGAGTGGTAGCTGAGTCACAGTAACCAGCTCTATAGCTATATAGACCTCATTCACATTGATTGTTTTAAATTGATTCACATTAATCAGTATTCAAAACAACTGGATTGGGGATCTTGCTACATGACGAGTGGCTTTCTGACCTCTGACACCAGCACGTGATCCCAGCTTATATTAACACACAGTATAGGCCTATTACCATGACTTTACATAACTTTAACAGTTGAAGCTCGCATGACTGTCCAGCCATTGTCTGCCGCTCAACTCTCACCTGGTTGCATCTTTCATTCTTTGACAACATTGGTCTCTACGTCACTCAATGGTCCGTTCAAAAACGTTTCTGCCCAGCCCTTGTCTGCCGTCCCCTTCCTAGCGTCCTCTATTTCGATTGGCTTAGACGAACGTCAGTCACTCCTGCCCACAGAGTTAGTCCCGCCCCTTCCACGAAGCTCGCGCACTGAAACGAGGAGCCGAAGCCCTGAAGCCAGGTACAGTGTGTCTCAACACTGTTAGGATGCTGTAGCTTTCGCCACACAATCGTAAGAATGTTCTTTCATTTATACTTTTACTCCAGCGATGTTTAGACTGTGTGTTCTGCCGGCTTTGTGTCGCTTCTGTTTGGATAAAGGCGTCAGAGTTGACAGCGCTCCTGTCGTCCCTGTAGCTCACCGTGTCAGTGCTCAAGTGAAACAACGCTTTCGATAGAATTATTAATGGACTTCCTTGTGACATTTGGTGCTGAATTTGGTGTGTGAACCAGTTTGATTATGTGTTTGGGGTTAATCGAGGCTGTTCAGCCTTTGGGACCACATGGGGGGGGGGGAAATAGGCTATGAGACATTTTTCGTCTTCGCTGTGCGAAGTTTGAATTGCTGTGTTGGTAACAGGAACTAAACTGGAGGGCTGTGAATTCAAACGGGACACCTGTGGTTTCGGCTTGCGGAGTTTTCCCTACAATGACTATTTCATTTCACCAACCCGTATTTGTTTCAACGCGCACACTTATCCCCAGCAAGGCAAAGTGTCATTCTAAGTGTTTCATTGTATATAGTCTAACTTGAAGATAAAATATAGCTTAGGACATGAGGCTATGCTTGGGTTGTGATGTGACACATTCAAAGTTGCTGACAGTCAAGTTGTTCATGTTATTCAGCTCAGGTGAGATGCTACACCCCATTGAGGATGACATTATGTATTTCCTTTATTGATTGACAATATACAAAACAGGAAACAATTCTGATAATACTTTCAGTCATTTCTAAAGCAGAATTGACAAAATGTTGCCCTATAACTTCTACAATATGGGCCTGCACTTTGTGCTTCAGCCTCATTAGTGTATTAATTATAAATACTTTTGTGTAATAGGCTATTAGTTTAAAAACAAAACCTTTGAGCATCTGGGATCTTCTAATGGCTTCTTTTCTTTTGTCTGAAATTGAAAACAACATTCGTTGTTGCATTTTTGCTGTTTGCATCCCCATATTAATCATTAACAGGTGTGAGATGACTGTGAGCCGTTCATCACCCACTGATGTCTTTAACCTCAGGCCTTTGTGGGGCTCGAGTGTTTTTTTTATACTATTGTAATTCAGCCCTTGGCCTGAGCACCTCTTAGCTAGACAGGATCATGTTATGCATGAGTGTTGGTTGGTGGCATCACTATCACTATGCCATTCACTGATTGCTTTTGCAAACACCATGAACGTATATAAGTCTACACACATTGCCAGCTAAAGCGTGCGTGAACAAATCTGAAGCCTTGAAGTTTTTCAGTGAGGTTGGTTCATGAACATCTAAAAAAAAAGTTTGCATGATGGGAAATCATGGAGGAAACGGATACAAGTAAGGATCTGGAATGCAGAAAGTCAAAAAAATGAATTTGCACTTATTTTGTTGTTTTCACTTAAGTGCTTTTCAAACCAAAAATGCCCGTAATGCTTAAATGCCTGTTTCATGATTGTGCAGATTTGCAGCTTCGAACTGGTTTATTTTGAACTCAGCTTTGGCTTTAATATCTTTGGGCTGTTTCTTTGAAAAAGAAAAGGACACTATAGACCAAACGATAAGTCAATTTAACTAAGATCTTATAAAAACAATCATTAGCAGCCATAGACTGGGTGTGCCTTGTGATTCAAAGAGTCCATGTGTCTGTTGAAGGGCAACGCACTGAAAACTGAATCCCTCCTGACTTCAGGGGGCGCTGTTCCAGGCCTGTCTCCCTGCATTTGTGTGATCTCTCAAACCAGCAGAGAATTCCACTGAAGCAATCAATGGAGTCTGTCAGTCAACTGTTTTTTATTTTTTATTCCTTCTTTAATATTCTGGGTGTAAACATCCAGCGTGGCTGATGTGACTCACACTGAGTTATGTCTGTGTCACTCTCTCCTTTACACAACACCCACTTTAAAGCTGGTAAACACAGCGCTCCCTGCATGCCTTGACTAATTCTGCAGTGACGGCCCTGAGACTACCCTGCCCTGGATCTCTTTTTTTTTGCTTCCCAAGGTTTTAGGGTTTCTTTTGCCCTTCTGCAAGCCAAGCCGTCAGGTCAACACTGACACTCATGTAAAAATCATGTTCATGCTGTTAACAGCACAGCTCTATAAATAGCCCCATGTATTATGCCCCCAGATTTCACATAAAGAACAAACGGACTGAATATATATTCCTGCCTTTGCCTTTTTGTATCCATAGCAACCAGGGATTGGGCAGTAACAGAAGTGTCCCTTGTCTCCACAGGAAAAAGGCATTCTTTTTTTGCATGCCTTTTCAGAATAAAACAGACTGCATGGGCATGCTGGCTCCTCATATTGTTCTCTTTCTGTCACGAGTGATAGGAAAATAAGTGACTGCTGAATGGCAGATTGGGGCTGCTTTTTGCTCTTTGATCACTTGCTGTTGCTCACATAATTTTCTCTTCAGGCATACAGGAAATACCAGCACTGAATTACTTTGAGATAAAAAAAATATTAATAAAAACAGCACACTCAGCCAGACGTGAAGTCAGAGGTCGGATTAGTTAAGTGCTAATGCTGCTAAAACCATGTGCTTCAGCAAATCTATTCCTCTATTTTTTTCATAAATTTCATTTAGGTGTTGAATGTTGATGTATCAAGTAGCCTGAAAATGTGGACAGATGCGGGTCTATTTAAAGCATCCTATGCTGGCTCTCAGCTTGATTATCAGTGGATCATGCACAGCTTTAAGGATAATTCTGTGAAGCCCATACTGGAAGACGATTTATTGGAGGTAGAGGCACAGATGTGCCATCTGTGTGAGGACCTCTTTGCAGTCCCAGTCAGCCTGTAATGGGGAGGATATACTGCTATGTGGATTGCTGTGTTGATGATGGCAGTCCAGCTGTTGTAAGAATGTGTATGGGCTGAAAGCAGATGGTCGGACTGGTAAGTCAATGTCTGTGTGTTTGTCGTGCCGGACTGGAAACGTCAGTCTGACAGTTCCCGAGGCCGCGGCCTCTTCGTCTTGAGATCCTGTCATGGAAATTGGTGAACAGCAGATGAGGCTTTGCTTTCCCCTTTTAAAAGCCACAGGGCTTTCTGTGAATACACAATTTCTGCTGTACTGGTGACCAACACAAGAAGGATGTAATGATGCATCTGATGACTTGTTGTTTAAGTTGATGGATTGATTGATAGCAGCATTCCTGAGCAATTCAAAGGAAATTCCTATCAATAAACAGCAACAGTTATGTGCTTATGCTCAACCAAGACTGAACACACTGATATTGATTAAAGGCAACAGATGTTTTTATTTTTTTTATTTTTTTTCCCGAGCTGCAAGAAAATATAGCATTTCTGTGAATTGTGCACAGATTATGTACCAAAACAAAATGTGAATGCATACTCAGAAGGGCGCTTTCAGATAGGTATTATTTAAGAACATTAAGCATTATTACAATGGTCATCTGATCTATAGTGCAGCCTACTCTCTGATCTGCCGTCATGCTCTGCTACATCCACTGCAGACAGTGCTGTGAGTATCGTAACCTACTCTTGGAAATAAGAGCATACGCAGCTGGATAACTAAAACAACTTTTATTGCACAACCTCAAGCAGTTAATTTGCATTATATTTGCAAAAAACTTAAATGTTGCCACATGTTTTTAAAACATGTAAACTGATACTGATGTACCTGTGATGATAGTCATATTGGTGGATATTATCCACTGACATATTATTTTTGATCTACACATGTACTGCTTAAAGAAGCTTTGAGGGAATGTGAAAGGTTGTTGGTCATTTTTGTATACCAAACAAACTTGGTTGTTATGAAAAGGAAAAGTGGAAGAAAATGTAAAAAGTATTTACATCAAGGTCAACCCTCAGGCTACAGATTAGACTTCTACAGAGAAGTCAAATATTATGTGTAAATAGCTTTAAGCCTGTACTGCTACCTTAAAACTGAAGCCTTGCATGCTCACTTCTGTTCACTGGTGGACTTTTCCAGGGTAAATTAATATCTCCTTGGGTTTTTTTCTGTCAGAAAGTAATTTTTCATTATTTGATGGACGTCACTGTTGTAAGCCTGAAAAGACTTTCTAGCTGCTTTAAAAAAAAAACACATAACATTGGCAGACAAAGAAAGTCTATAGTTGCAGAACATTCAAAATGTCTTTAAACTGTATACATTTGATCAGTGAAGAAAGATTATTTCTGGTAAAACATGGGGATTTTTCAAGCATCATAAAAAATGATGTCTTTGGATCACTGCCTAGAAAACTTGATATAACCCCTTGATATAACCCCACATGATATCAGTATCAAAACAAGTCTTTCGCAAAGAGTGACTGGACATATCTGTACCAACAGGAAAAACACAGATGAAATATGTTAGGGGGAAAAATAAAACGAAAGAATGACTAAAGTTGGAATTTTATTCACCATGCATAGGTCGGCTGTCAGAGCACACAGCTCTTATTTTGTTATGGTAAGTGTTACCACAATATTATCCCAATGTCATATGACAAAACACATCCTTTTCCACCTCCATCTCCTCCACTCTCTCATCAGCTGGTGTCATGAATGCTGACAAGTGATATAAAAAAAAAAAAAAAAACGAAGAAAAACACGCAAAGCGGCCTCGTCCTTCACCTTTAGACCTTCTCTTACCTTGTTTAGTCCTTGTGACTCTGTGGCACTGACCCGGGCCACGCTGCAACAATGACTCCTTTTCCATCTTAACAGATCATTTACAAGGTGTTGTGCCATTAATCATTGACATCCATTACGTAAGTCTGAATGCAAAACGTCAGCACTTCTAGTCTTACAGCGCAGGGGGCTCGCTGCATGGTGTACAATACTACAGTAATCACTCAGGCGGGGTAAGTAGGGCACTCAGTTTGGGGACTGACGTCTCCCAGGTTCATTTACAAAGTTTTTACAGTTCATCTGTGGAGGAAAGCATCCTAGACGAGCAACTTCCGTGAGAGCTTTCAAAGCTCGAGGTATGACACTTCAAACAGAATCTTTGCACTGGTACCGAGGCATTTTTTTTGAGGTTTTGCTCAAAGGAAGTTTGTTGCAGACGTTGCTGCGGAGTTGTGTGAAAGGAAGAAGAAAAAAAAAAGAGACTGAGGATTGGAAGGCAGGGCTGAGTGTGTTATGTAAGGTGCATGGCTGCTGCACTTACTCACCAACTATTGTGTTTATAATCATGGTCGTATTCATCCCAGAGTGCAGTTAGAGCTGGAGATTTACCACTGAGGCCCTGAGCACCAACACTACACGCCAGATCATCATGTTTCACATATTGAGAGTCCAGACTACACACAGTTGTATTTACACAGATGTAAATGTGCAGGGGGTTACGTGTTCTGAATTCCTGAACTTGACTTACATCCATGTGACGCTTCAGCTGAAGACGGCAGACATGTCACAGCCTGAAAAGTGTGAAAACACAACAGCTTGATGAGCTAATTTCAAGCTCCCAAAGTTTCTCATCTGCAGCTTATACTCAAACGTGTTGTCTGTCCTTTTTAGTCTGTGGCTCCCGAGCTGTGAAGTATAGTGGGCCGTCCAGTCTGCTTTTAGCCCAGTGTTGACTGTAGCAAGCTGTGTGTTATGGTGTGTCGAGGGGGTATCGAAGCAGGGAGCACATTCTTTCCTGTTGATGACTCACGTCCTGGGCATGGCACTGACTGTAAGCCAGGCCTTGGGGAACTACAGAATACACAACCAACACACACAAAACCACCAAACTGTTTGCAGAGGATGTATGAAGTTGGCTTCACAATTCCAAGAGTTTACACACATTTGCATGCCAGCTAACACAAAGCAAACAAGGCCTTGTTTTTAATGCAACTAGGCAAGGTTGTGCAGTAGCCTATATACAGAATCCACGCAGGCACTTTGGTTAGGTCTTCTGGCAGTATCAGCGCACAAAGGGAGTGGCGTTACCACACATGGGCTAGGTAAACACAGCCAGGTTGTGGCATGAATAAGGACTGAATGTTACATCCCAGTGAGAATGTGGTGTTCTTACACTCTACCCTGTACAGCCATAAACATGTACAGTACATCTCTGTAGAGACGTAGCACAAACATCAAAGGAGGATGAGTGAGTTCATGTGACACCCGCATATCGCGATGATGGTTTCGAAGAAATAACACACACTTCTAATCTGATAGTGTGAACGCAAAGCGACCTCCTTTTAAAAGACAGCACATGAGCTTACAGGAGGATTGCCTCATATTAGTCAGTATTACAATGTGTAGCGTGGTAATTAGATAATACCAGGGTGCATACTCTTACTCACAGATTCTGTCTATCTGCTGTTTGCAACATTTCCATCCTGAATCCGAACAGAATCCCCAAATCTGTTTTTGTTACGTTCTAAATGGGTAACAATTAAAGTCATAGTAGCTGATAACTTGAGCTTAATCTGACTGCATCAAACCGATGTGAAAGAATGGCCGTTATTGTCCAGGCCTCTATCCAGAAGGAAAGGGTCTTAAGCAGGATAAGCGTGGGTTAAAAACCTACATGAACTCATTTGTCTTTCTTTCTTTCTTTGTGTGCGATACATTGAGATCACTGTGGTTTGATTATTGCAAATGCTCATATCACCATAATGACAAAATGATTTGCCTAGCATACAGGCCTTGTAGTCAAGATTCACATACAATCCACAAGTGAAATACAGCATTTTCAAACTGGGGGAAGTACAATTAATAGAAAGTAGTCAGTGGTTAAGCTCATAGGACCAGTTCCTACTTTTGCAGTATGCAGTAGTTGCTGTTGTTGTTGCATTAGTTGACGCTGTGTCGTTTAAAATAGGTTTCAGTTTGGAGATACAAGCAACATGAGAATATAAAATAGGGCTGCACAATAGATCACGATTTCATTTTTAATAATAGGAGCCTTTGTATTAAACACATCCCAAAAGACCACCACTGACAGGATGTTTTTTTCTCATTACTGAGATTTGAAGGAAAAAGCTACTTTCTTTTTAACAAAGAATGTGTAGTTTGATTTTTATCCCCTGGTTACGGCTGCAACCTCCCCAGTGTTACGGTCTAAGAGAGTGACATGCCCAATGTGCACAAGTTGATTATTTTTTGGGGGTTTTTGTCTCGTCTCGGAGAACTCTGGTCTCTGGGATCTCTTGATCTCAGTGAGTGTGGTCGTGACTACAACACTAATGCTTTCTCACTCAGCACCAAATTGCATTTTGGATTTATTCTGGATTCAGGAGGGAAACGATGCAAACACAGGTATTGTGTAAAAAAAAAAAAAAAATGAAGAGAACACTAGATAGTCAATCATTCTGAGTTATGGGTTATATGCACTCTTTGTTTTTTGTTTATTCATCACATATTACACTACAGAGAGGCTCCTTTCATGAACAGCTTTTAAATGATGGGCTCATTGTTTGGGGGTTTTGACTTTTCATATGTGGTAGATATGGAGATAGATACGCCTCTGAAATCATAACCTTTGATTTTATTTTAATGAAAGTCTTGTTCCTATGATGACAAATACAATTGAGACACTTTTCTAGTCTTTCTAGGTCACACCACATTCACACGCTAACAGCCGAGGCTGCTATGTAATGTGTCCATCAGTATTAATTAATCCAATCATGCTCATTCACACAAGCAATTAGCGGTTCAGTTTTTACTGAACTTTTTAGGACACTTGACTGCAGGAGCTGGGGATCGAACCCCATGATGTCTAACTCTACCACTGAGCCACATCTCTGTGCATTCCTGTGCTTACTTTTTGTTTTTGTTTTCCTAATTCCCACATTCTTCTTAGCCACAGAGGGTTATTTATCATAAAGCTTATATGGCACTATCATTGTCTGACTTTTACATTCGTTTTGGTTAAACATGTGATCTAGAATACTCCAATGTTTCACAAAAGAGCGGATTAAGAGCACATGATGAAGCTCTATTAGCGTCTCGTGTTTCTATTCTCGACATGTCTGTTGCTTCCTTGAATTTTGGGAATTTCACATCCTCAATTAGGCGTCCCAGTTAGTCAGAGGCACAGTGAGTAAGTGATTCCTCTCCGTTTTTATCCGCCACTCCGCCACACCGCTTCTGTCCTCCTATAAAAATAAGCTTTTGTTCTGCTCCGTCATCCATTTGTTTTTCGACCTCTCCTCTGCAGTGCTGACTGTCGCGGCGTGGCCTTCAAAAGGTCAGAGTGATGCTCCCAGCGGCTCTCTTGTGATCTCTGTTGCTGCGGTTTCCACGGGAACGAGAAGGACGGTGGACAGAACGCAGTCAAGTCGCCAAAAGATGACGTCGCTGTCGCCCACTCACAGTGACAGCAGCGGCTCCTCGAAGCATGACAGTAACCAGGTATGTGTGGGAGGGTGGTACTTAAATGTACAGTATGAGAACTTCTGTTGTGCTAACAGCTACTGTTAGCATTTCTGCATTTGTTTTTAAGTACGCTTCTCTGTTTTTGTATTATTTGTACTTGAAGAATAAACAAGATTTCAAAATGTTCCTAGCATGCAAACTGAACTCTCTAGACACTGAAAAAATGCTTAAAGAGCAATAAAACAGTTTTCTCAATTACCAGCGCTGCAGTCACATCAGCATTGCACGTGAATGGGATGTGTGCTGATGCTAATATCCTGTTTATGTTTGCATTGTGTTATGCCTCAAGGGAAATATGTTCACCTGTCTGTCTAACTCAAACAGTACTGTGTCTGTGTGTCCCTGCAGGACAGCTGGGAGATTGTAGAGGGGCTCAGGGGGGCTCCAGCCAGCGTGCAGGAGCCCGACAGACAGGAGGGCCTCCTGCTCAAGAGAAGGAAGTGGCCCATGAAGGGGTGGCACAAGGTGAGCGCCTCAGCAATCCTTTTAAAGCCCCCAGACAGAAACACGTCTTATTATAGAACAGTGCTGCTCCTTTTATTGAACCAGAGAGCTATTTTCTCCCTGAGCTTGATTGCTTCTGAAGCAAGACACGTTCAACTGTGTGCTATATTTTGAAGGTTGTGAGGGGTACGTTTGGATCTTTGGTGCTTAAACTCTAGGGCTTCTTTTTTTTTTTTTTTTTCATCAGGTGTTTTTAAAGGATGTATAATGCTCTAAAATGACTCATATCCAAATCTGAAGAAATACTGTAGTCATGCAGTTTAAATCTGAGAGATGCTGTACATGCTCCTGAGCTATCCCAGCTTTAAGTCCATCCCAAATGTCTAGCTACAGATCTGACCTGCTATCTTTTAATACCTTGAGCTATTTCTACATCCCCTCCTCCTCACCACAATGGTCCTCTGTATTTCCTTCTTTCTATTCTTTTTATTCCCAGCTGATTATACTGTAACCCTGACTCATCGTCCTCCCCCTCTTCTTCTCTGTGACTGTGCTCAGACCTGGAAAGTTCTGCATTACAACACGAGTGAATTGCCTCTTAAACTGGCAACGTTTTTTAAATGGGGGAAAAAAAGAAAAAAAAAGCTTCTCAAGTACTGTCAAAGTACTTTATCAGTGTATTCTTTTTATAGTAAACCTTTAAAGGTTTTTCTACGTCTACTCAAGGCCATTGTCCATTCTGCTGATCACTTATTTCACTGCTGCTGTTATAAAATGTGAAGGTCAAGGGAAAGTGGTTTTATAGGTGTAAAACTACAGAATGCCTACATAACATTTTTTAACAGGGTTTTTTTTCTATTATGTAACCAATCAACGTTTGATTTGAAGAGGTTAAGGACTGAAAAAGTGTGAGAACAAAGGTTGACCCAGTTTGATTTCCTTCTTCTCAGAGGTACTTTGTGTTGGAGAAAGGCATCCTGAAGTATGCAAAGCGAGACGCTGATGTAGGTATTTCCCTCAGCAGCACCATCTGTCTGTCATTCTGGCATTAAGGCCCATGCAGACACATGCTTAAAAACAGTGTTTCATTTACAGCTGAAGAAGGGGAAGCTGCATGGCCGCATCGACGTCGGCCTCTCGGTCATGTCAATCAAGAAGAAAGCTATGTGCATCGACCTGGACACTGAGGATAACATCTATCACTTAAAGGTAACTCCTGACCCTGACTTTAACAATCTGAAGATTTGTTGAAATCAATACTGAGTCTACTCGGGAGAGTTGCGCATCAACACTTGTACAAAGACACTCTGCAGCGTCAAAGTTTCTGCTCCTAATTTGACTCCGTGCCACCCAGGTGAAGTCTCCAGAGCTGTTTGAGGAGTGGGTGTCAAAGCTGCGTAATCACCGCGTGTTTCGGCAGAACGAGATTGCCGTGTATCCCCATGAGAGGCACCTCTTCCACCCACACGCCTCATCCTCCCCCTCCCTCAGCGACTCCCTTAGAAAAGTAAGCTGTTCCTGCACTCTTTTGTATGAAATATTAAAATAAAGAGGAGTTTTTTGTTGTTGTGTCTTTTTAAAGTCGACGCAGTAGGGACTTAGTGATGTTAGCTGGTGCGTGCGTCATTCATTCTGTTCTTGTTTTATGGAACAGAGGGCTACTCTGACAAAGCAGGCGTCAATCCAGCAGGCGAAGGTCAATTCTTGGCTCCATTCCTCAGAGGACATGGATAAGTGCAGCAAAGGTTGTTTTTTTTTTGTTGTCTCTTGTCTTTTCTGTTTCCCTGCCTGTCAACATTTTTCACTGCAGTGAATCTTTTATGTTCTTTTTTCCCTCCCCCTTATCACTGTGCCTGCATGCACCCAATCTTTCATGTTCTGATAATCTTTTTTTTTTTTTTTTCCACTCAGACTTGGAAGAATGTGAGTCGTACCTGCTGGAACTCAACCTACTGCTGAAGAGTATGGAGGTCCTCCATCGCACTTACTCAGCCCCAGCCATTAGTGCACTACCAGTAAGCACAGGATAATGATTCACTTGTTCATTGTGCAAAGTGAAGAGAGAAGCTTTGGCTTTATTGAAGCTGTTTTTGTGTTGAAATCTCAAGACTGTGTTGGTTGTAAAGGCTGGAGGTATATTTGGTTTGTTCAGCATATTCACCTCTGCCATCTTTTATTTTTGATACCAGAAATCACTTTATATGGATGAGAGGGTGGAGGGTATGCTTTGTTCCCAGGTAGTTACATCTAAAGCACAGCCTGCCTTATCTTCAGTTAAAACCTAATGGGATCATCATTTACAAAATGAGCATTATGCTGTATTAAATATTACTGTAACTACTAAATAAACTACTCAGAGGAAAGTGTTTCCTGACATAATAAATCACCAGAGAAGGCTGATTTCTCATCTGGTTTTGTACTATTATACTTCTTGCATGCAATTAGTGGAGTCTCCCTCAGCTGGCCACAACAGGTAATGCAGGTATATGGCAGTTCCCACATCAGATTCTGTTTAGATTCCATTTTGAGGCTACATTTCACTTATTATATGGTCTATGGCTGACATCCTGTTCAAATAATAAGTGGAGGCAGTAGAGTAACTTGAAATAATCAACTGATTTAATTGACGTTGGAGTAATAAACGGCATGACCCATTTTTGGTGATCGGGTTATACTTGAAGCAGTTTTATTCACTACTCCATCAATATATTTATATATATTTTGTGTTTTTTTTGCAATACCCAGGGGTCTAATTTTGACATCCCCAAAAAGGAGAAGAGGCCAAGGAGATGGAGATCCAAAAACAACGGAAAAGAAACCAAAGCCACACTACAGGTACATATACAGGTTTTATGTTGTGCACAGAGATTTATTTCCAAAAAAAAGGTAACGGTAAATTTGACACCTTCCTCTGTTTTTTCTAATAGGTCCCAAGCTGCATCTCCTCCCAATCTCCTCGCCTCCACGCCTCCAACCCGAACCTCTCCACCACGGAATCGAACACTCAAGAAGTCTGTCCCGAGTCCCCAGACTCACCTACAGATGTGTCCCGTTTACAGGAGGACTTCTGCCAGCTGGCCAACAACAGTGAGTCCCTTTGCTTTCTGTTGATCTGCTTCTATGGTGAGATATAGTTTCCATGACAACTCTGTACTGTCTCTGTTTGCCTCTCTCCAGTCCACGCCACACTGAAATCAGCCTTTAGTTCCCTCGCAGCAGAAAAAGACAGACTGAGACAAACCCTGCAGGCCCCACAGCCGTCGCAGGTCATGGGTCTGAAGAGCGCCTATTCCTCAGTGAGTGTCTCTGTGATTCAGATAATCATGGGTCTGCATCACACATCACACATGTCCTTTACATTTTCACCAGGGATCTGTTTCACCCACTTGGCTTGTTCTCATTATCAGGAAAGTCCAAGTGGATCCCACTCTTTGGTTCACCAGGCGTCCAATGAGAGCAGAGCATCAATCCCAGAGTCCATCTCCGAGTTTTTTGATGCTCAGGAGTACCTCCTCTCCTCTTCCTCCTCGGAGAATGAAGTGAGAATTCTACTGCTTTATTCTCTTCCTCAACTCTGTGCTTTAATCCAAATGCATTGCTGGATGATTGTGTTGTACGTATAAATAAATGTGACAAACTGATGGGAATGTTTTCCAGCATAGGGGTCACTTTTTCATTTGACTGTTTTCATTTTAATAAAAGTCCAAAAGTCAGAAGATGTTGGGTTTAGAATGGTGTTAAAAAAGCTGCTTATTATAAGATTTGAGAGTTTAGGGGTTTTTGTGTTCTGAAGGACTTATATATTTAAAGTCATTTTAACATTTTTTTAAATGAATGCATATTTTAGGCTATTTGTTTTAGCACTAAATTAAGTGGAAAAGCTTAAATTCAAGTCTAGTAATTGGATGTTTGTGCAGGGAAGATAATCTAGAAGGGGCCTGGATAGTTTTGACAAACATCTGTACACACTGTGGGAGTTTTTCTATTCTGATGATGTAAGACAATTGGGGATGTATGTTGTTCATGTTGTTTTTGTTTGTGTGCGTGTGCGTGTGTGTGTGTGGTCGCCCACTGACCTTTCATCGTCGATTCTCTGTCTCCAGGTATCTGACGACGACTCGTACATCAGTGATGTCAGTGACAGTGTTTCCATGGATACCTACAGCAATGAGGGAGGAAGTGAGAGACACAACTCTGGTACTTGAAACTGTTACAAGTTGTGTGTCTGTGTGACAAAAACATTAATCTCCTGATAAAACAGAGACTTGCACAGAGCTTTATACAGTCAAAAAGAGGCGGGGCTTCTCCATCTTTGTGTGTGCTGGACCTTACCTCTATCCTAAAATATCCTTTATTAAATGTTTGTTTGATGTCTGGAATCCTTGTAATGACTCACTTGTTAAGTGTTTAACGATGTGTTTAACAATGTGTTTAACACGACCACAGTCAGTCTCCAGACTTGTTTACAAACTTGACATTTCATCATTCATTATTTGACAATGCATCGGTATGCATGCATCATTCATTCACTATGACAGATGGTGTTAGTTTTATATGAAGACACAGACATAATGAATTCATTTAGCGCCAAAAAGCAAGATTTTCATGGATTTTCCTGTTCTTGATTATAAATGTAGAACCTGTGCAGGTCACTTTGAGAATTGCTCTTTAATCCACATTTCTCAGACCAGGTGTTAAATTCCCATTCAAGCAACAACCTCTCCTCCATCTCCCCTCTCACACGCACTCTTCCTGCCTTCCCCTCTTACCACCCTTCCCTCCGCTTTACGCCCCTCCAGTTAGCAGCGTGGTGACCCTGGCTCGTCGGCGCTCCACACTGCCCTCTACCAGCCCGACCAGCAGCGTGAGCCTGTGGAACATCCTGAAAAACAACATCGGTAAGGACCTGTCCAAGGTGGCCATGCCGGTGCAGCTCAATGAGCCGCTCAACACCCTGCAGAGGCTGTGCGAGGAGATGGAGTACAGCGAGCTGCTGGACACCGCCAACCAGACCCATGATCCCTACCAGCGCATGGTGAGAGGACGAAAACACAGACAGATGCATGACAAAACCAGCAAGAGCATGTTGCATAGATAGGGAATGTGTTGACCAGGAAGCTTGTTGAATAATACTCTGATGTTCCTCATTTGCTCTGTGGCTAGACTTCTATTAAACACCTGTAAGAATAAACTTGTTATACCTTGACCTTATTTCCAAAGGATTTGAAGTACACTTATTGTTACTATACTATAGTTTTTTAAGGAGGTGTTCGCACATCCAATTGTCTCTTCAGGTAGCTGCGACAAACTATGACTTGAAAAGAAAAATCCTGCACACTACTCTTGCTCAGTATCACCAAATTTAATCGAAAAAAAACCCTAACCCCTAGCTCTTTTCTATTACATTTGGTGATACTGAGCAAGAGTAGTGTGCAGGATTTTTCTTTTCAAGTCATACTGTACTATAGTATGAATATAAATTATTTATGATTTCTACAGCCATACAGTTTTCCCATGTAAACACAAGTCACATCTGAAACACATGCATGTTTGTACACAGTGATAAACACAATCACATGTAGAAACACAATGTAACAAATGAACTCAACAAATGGAATCAATGTCTTATTTTCTGTGCAGGTGTATGTTGCTACTTTTGCAGTATCTGCATATGCGTCCTCCTACCACCGAGCAGGAAGTAAACCCTTTAACCCGGTCCTGGGAGAGACGTACGAGTGTGACCGGCCGGACAAAGGCTTCAGGTTTATAGCTGAACAGGTAGAGATCACAAAATTCCAAACGCATGTGATTTACTGCATGAGATTACACTCTCCTCACAGGATAGTCTACCTTAAAGATGACTGTTTGAGAACTTAAAACAAATGAAATATACAGTAATTTAATATGTGGAGTAGGTGAAGTCAGATTTTTAAACGTATTCCCTTTTATCTGGAATCTTGGTTTAATTAAGATTCTACATTTAGGTAATTTTAAGCATCACTATAAAATGTAGAGTTATACTTATCCTTCTTTTTACCTTAAAGCTATTTCAAAACTTAAATTCAATGTAAGGCATTTAAGTAATGCACTGACCTGTCATTCTTCTCTGTGGTCCTTTGTTTTGTAGCATGTTTACTGATATCTCAGAGGTAATAAAGTAATTGTATTATATGAAGTTAATGGTGTCACCATGTTACATTTAGTTTTTAACTGCCAGAGCCGCAGTGTGTACTGTTGTGCAACTTTTGATGAAGTGTTGTGTATCTTATCTTGCGTCTCCTAACTTGTTTCCTAGGTGAGTCATCACCCTCCTGTGTCAGCTTGTCACTCTGATTCAAAGAACTTCAGCTTTTGGCAAGGTGAGCAGCAGACAGCCTGTTTGGAAATCAAGATCTCCGTTTCTCCTCCAGTTAAAATTTGAGATGAATCCACTGCTGCCACATACTTTTGTTCTGAAATTTTCTTACTTGCTGCTGATTATTTTTAAGGTAGAAATTGGTGTATTGGTAGATTATGTGACTTTTCTTTAACCTAATGACACCTCTGTAATCGTTTGTAGAGCGCTAAATAATCATTTAATGGAAGATTACTCTAAAGTGACCCTATCTGTAAACTTTGGCACATACATCTCTGGTATTTTCTTCCAAACAACTTATCAGCTATCTGTAGTGGATGTAGGGTTGTTGCCTTGTTTGATTTTCCTCTGTGCACACAAATAAAGATCTGATTTATCAAGAGACACTGCTGTTTCCTGAAGAGACCAGATAATACCTCAGAGATTTCAAATTAAGAGAATGTGGCAATCTTCATCATCACAAGCGCTCACTTTTTCCTTTGTGATCTGTTTTTTTTTTTTTTTTAGACGTCCGATGGAAAAATAAATTCTGGGGCAAATCCATGGAAATTGTTCCCATGGGAACCACCCATGTCACGCTACCTGCGTAAGTCCTTTCCTTATTGTGCGTAGGTGTGTGTTCTGATCTGCACAAATGTTGAAGGCGAGGCTACGCTGTATAGGCTTGTAAGTATTTGGGAGAAAAGACAACATGAGAAAAAAAAAAGACGTGTGTGATTTCTGCAGCTTCGGGGAACACTACGAATGGAACAAAGTGACGTCCTGCATCCATAACATCCTGAGCGGTCAGCGCTGGATAGAACACTACGGAGAGATGTCTATCAAGAATATCAACAGTGATGTTTGCCAGTGCAAAGTCACATTTGTTAAGGTCAGAAAACACAGATATACATTATTTATTTATATATATATATATCTTAACAGCATCACAAAGCAGAAACAAATGGTTAAGTTCTGATGAGATGTGTCGAGCTCTTTTAGCAGATTTGTTTGTGCGGTCAATTGTAAAGACAAACTGTTCTTAGTTTTCTCTAAACATGCTATTGTTTTTGTTTCCCTCCTGTTAGAACATGAAACTCTGTCTGCATTCGCTGAGCAGACATGCTGAATAAGCCCTTTAGTAAAAAGATGCTGCAATATGTCTTTAATGCATGCTGTCTTCTCAGATATATGATCTTACTTTTCTTGTGATCGCTGCCATCTGCTGGACAAATATAGGAACTCGATTTTTTTTTTTTTTAAAGATTTATTTTTGGGCGTTTTGTGCCTTTTATTGTAGAGATAGGACAGTGGATAGAGTCAGAAATCAGGGAGAGAGAGAGTGGGGAATGACATGCGGGAAAGGAGCCACAAGCATGAGAAAACCCTTATACATGTACAACATAAATCATACAGTAGTTATTATAGAAGTGTAAAATGTGTTTGCCCTCATTGAATGTAACATTTACCTTCCATCTCACATATACTATCTTGTTTACCTTGTTTTCAGGCTAAATCCTGGAGCTCTACGGTGAACGAGATAGAGGGCGTGGTCACAGATTCAAATGGAAAAGTCGTGCACTCCATTTTTGGAAAGTGGCACGATTCCATTTTTCAAGGAGACCCACCTGCGGCCACCTGTATCTGGAGGACAAGTGAGTGATTGGTCCTTGGAAATGTCACGTAGGACGTTTTCACGACGGGAGACTGCAAACACACAACAAGAAAACTGGCTTTACCTGACGGTTTTTAAATTGTGTTTCTTTTTGTTAAGATCCCATGCCAGTGGACCAGGAGCAGTACTACGGATTCACCCAGTACGCAGTGGAGCTGAATGAGCTGGACCCCACCCTGAGACTTCTTCTGCCCCCCACAGACACACGCTTTAGACCGGACCAGAGGTTGGCACTTTTTATTCTTGTCTGAAATTGTGATTTCTACGAGTCAGTCCACATTTATAATTTCAACACATTTTACAGACTTCATTCTTTGTGACTGTTTTGTGAAATATGATGAAGGCCTGTAAAGATGACTCTGTTGTTGAATGGATTTAAAGTTGCTGAAGTAGAGCAAACTTTCTGTACAAAAAGGGTTTTAAGGGGCGGGACATGTTGGAAACATAATAAATCATAAAAAGAGAAGCCAAGTATGAGGGAGGGAGTTCTGGTAAAAAGAACAAAGACGGTTAGGTAGAGAAGTACATTAATATTGTGGATTTATTCAACTGAAATGCAGAAAGTTTCAAAGTCATGACACTTTTCCAACTCTATCGACTATCCTGTCTATCAAATAAATAAAGACATAATAATCCCAAACGTTAAAACCTAAACCAGGAGAGGACATCTAATATTGTTTTATCTACAGACATGTTCTAATGTCAGTGTTATATCTGATGCCACATTTCAATCAATTAACTCTGGCCAAGATCGACAGATCCCAGAGGGTCACTCAACTAGGACTTCATTGTTGTATGACTGTATTAAGTTTGTATTGTAAAGTAGTTGTACTTTTTGTCAGCAAAATGTAGGATGAATGGTGGTGTTGGAACTGAATATCTCTTCTTTCATTTCCTCACTCACTCTTCTTGTCTCTTCCGTCCAGGTTTCTGGAGGAGGGGAACACAGAAGGAGCTGAGGAGCAGAAACAACGAATCGAGCAGCTCCAGAGGCAGAGGAGGAAAGTGCTGCAGGACAACAACATGACCCACCAGCCACACTTCTTCAAGTATGAGGCTGTTTGCTTATTTGTTTGTCTGAATGTCTTTGTGTGCAATCAGACAGAGCAGTTTGTGTGCAGTTACATGTGTCCACACACGTTCAGAGATCACCTCCTGACCCAGAGTGTCATTTGGTCAAAATGTCTGTGACTCTAATAGTCTGCAGACTCGTGAACATGTGAGGAGAAAGCAGTTGTGCTCATCCTTACCAAAAAAAGTATTTATTGTCAATGACATCACATCAGTTCCTTAAGTCACATTGCGTGAGATATAACTCATCAGATGCTCTAACCATAATGAACTTTGTGTTACACCCCAAAATAATTTCCACAAAGCCCATTTTGAAGACAAAAAACAGATTTAATCTTTTTTTATTTTTTATGAGATGATTTAACCATTGATCATTTGACATGTATAAATCCATTTGGAAATGGCAGTAAAAACTGATTTCTTTTCTGTTTTTGTCTTCAGGAAGTCTAAAGACGACACGTGGGTGAGCAACAACACGTACTGGGAGACCCGCAGAGACCCCGGCTTCAGTAAGACTGACTTCCCTGTGTTGTGGTGACCGTTGGATTTAACCCAATCTCTCCACCACAATCTATCATAAAGAGGGAAGTATAAAACTGAACTGAGACCAGTCTGCCATGGTCCTGACCTGGTGAACATAAATCAGGAGATGTCACGTTAACCTGAATTTACATGGAGTTCCTGCTTCCTCTTTCAGGACTGAGCGAAGCCTGTACAATTCTTTTTCTTTTTTTCTTTCTGTTGTTTATAAAATTTTTCCACAGGTGCACATTTTCTCCTCACATTATACTGACTTTTATTTACACAGTATCAGTGTAGACTGTAGAGGCATATCATCATGTTCTGTTGCATCTCAGCATTTACCAAAGTGCCTTTTATTGCAGTGCCTCACTAAATCTGCTGCTCTTGCATTAATGCAAAAAAAAAACAAAAAAAAACTTTTTAACCTTTTAGGATGATGTCAGTATCACATGTGGACCTCGCTGGAGAGTAAAGGATCAGATTTAGAAGTGGACTTGTTCTTTAGGTCCAAACCTGTTCAAGTATTACTCCATCAATGCAGCATCATGATCCGTGGATGTTTCCATGACTTCAACCAGTGTCTGACTGGAGGATATCGTTCTAAAAGAGGGACTTCAGCCTTTTTATGCTGCCTTGTAATAATCCATCATGGCTGTCATAGGACTGTATACCATGTTTGTCAAAACAGCAATAATATTCCATGTTTAAAGAAAATAATAATAAACTGTACAATGGATGGACAAGTTATTCTGTGTCACTCTTTGTTTTATCTTGTTTTGCTCGCCTCCACAAATGCTGTTAGGAAGTCTCTCCAAGGATAATGTCATGTAGGTGGCATGTAGAATTATAGAATGAAAGACAATACCCCGACCGAATTATTATTATTTTTTTTATTTAACCAGGAAAGAAACTCATTGAGATTAAAAATCTCTCGTTCAAGAGTGTCCTGGCCAAGACAGGTAGCAGCACAATTAACAGAGTTTCACACAAACGAGCAGCCAAACATCCAAAAACAAAAATACATCATTAGGCATTAAAAGACACAAAAAACAAATCTGAACAACGAATATTTGTGAAATATCAGCCTCGATAAAACATCTGGGAGAACATCTACAGCCAGATGTGTCCGCCTCCAAGTCATTTAACATGCTGGAGATCAGGTGGCCCTGTTGTTGCTGTCCTTGTCTGAGTCCACTCTGTTGATCGATACAAATGGATTTGGCTTGATGATCTTTATTCTATGTTGAAGCAGTGCCTCAATCCATGGGGTACAAGTGTTCCCCGACTGATTTAATGAGAATGAAAATGATGTCAATAAGGGCCGTGCAATTAATCGCAACGTCTTCATTGTCGAGATTTGAGCATTTGCAATAAACACCTTAAATATTCCGAATTTATATCAATAAATATTTACTTTTACATAAACAAGCAATGATTGTGCACTCATGATGTGTCCACTTTTACCATTTACCCACTGGATAGAGGCATGAACATAATGGCCATGCCATAACACTATTATGATGCAATAAGATGAAGCTAAAGCTAGCTATCAGCCAACCTCGGTGTGATGGGTGCCAATTAGGTGGTGAAAAAACGTCTTTAATTACATGAACTGAGTTTTAGCTTATATTCACTATTATGTTTTAGTTATTGAATCAAAGTGAGTTGTTTTTGTTTTTGTTTTTTTTATTTTACAGAGCAGTCCCCTATGTGTAAAAGACCCTACAGGAAGTACTGCCTGTATATTTAGGGCATTTCTGCCCACTGTGCAACGCTGAAAAGCGTTTGTTGTTGATCTGTAAGCTGCTGCTCTGCGCAGAAAGAATCACAGATAGTTTGGGTTACTATGCTGACACAGACTGGACAAAATGAGCACTTCTGAGAAATAAAAATAAGTTAGACAAAGGATACTGATTTGCCCAGAAATAATTACAGTGTGCTGTTTTCCATAAAAAAAATTAAAAAAACACAAAATGACACAATTTCAGTAGTTAGTGAATGACTATGACACAATTTGATCGCTTTATTTGTAGTTTAATTTTCTGGTGTATAGTCTTCTTATTGTATCTGTGTGTTTACAGTTACAAATATAAGATTCAAGATTCCAAGAACTTTATTGTTTATCACATACTAACATAACAGAAAAACTTTCACACCCATTAGACCCACATAAAATAATACCAAAGGTTCTATAAATAAAAGCACATGACGCAAAGCATGTTAAAAGTTAGTGTTTATCTAGCCTTGTTTAAAATTAGTATTGCGGTGGGAATAAAATAATTTTTTACTATTTGTAACCATCGATATTAGTCATTTTTAACACTGTCAGATAGGATTATGAGGCATGTTTGGACCGCAGAATAAAAACTTGACTCACACAGAGAGGTGAAGTCATCAAGCTTTAAGCATGCACTCAGATAACCGTAACAGCCTAACCAAAGGGTTTGACCTCAAATGTATGGTTTTCATTTCAATTTGTAGAGACTGAATTATATCTTCACCCTATCCTACTACAACAGTAAATAAATGCAAATTCAAAGTAATACAGGAATATTATTAGTGAGTTTTTGAAACTGGCAACTGTCTCAATATCAGTCTTGTTACTTGATTTTTGTACATTATGCTGCTTCAGCTAAAATTTAGCGTACCACTTAATGATGAAAAAAAAAAAGTAAAGTACCTTTATGTCTGTAAAACATTTCAATGTTTCTTTCACCACAGCCCCAAATAACCGCTGTGACGACATGTGTGGCTATTTGTGTATCCATTGCTCAGGGGGACAGAGGCCTGTTATCACTACATCTGTTTGACAACTCCCTGTTAGTCTTTACAAACTCTCTACTTATCACTGCTACAAAGCATGTGATGGAACAAACTACACCCTCCTCTTTACACTTCTGGCCCAAGTCCTTGCATCATCACATACTATGCCAACAACTACCCACAATGTGGTTTCCTTCACTGTTATTGTAACCCATTTTAAGAATTATTACATAACATGTTTTAATTGGGGTTACTGAAAGAAAGGTGAACATGTGCCACTCTCTCAGGAGGATAATCATCTTGCTCTGCTCCATGAGCAGAGAAGGTATAGGCCTACTGATTTCATTGAGTTTGGGGCTTTGTGTGATTTTGTTTTTTAACCTTTTTGACAAAGTTTATGAACTCTAAAGTAGTTTATTTGATGACTTCTTGAAAATAGCATTAGACAGGATGTGGTGTTGCAGGGGAAAACACCACCTGTGCAAGGTTCAAAGCATCACCTTTGTGCAGATTCCGAGCAAGAGGGAATTAAATGAATCAATAAGGCACAATTATTTTTTTTTTGTCTAAAAAAAAACAGAATGAAAGAGGCAAGTCTACTCATGTCCAGTAGTATCAAACACGCACGCGCATACAAAGAGTTCATATGCTCATAATTAACTCTGCAGTGAGAGTGGGAGGGGAGGCGGTCTCTGTCTTGCGCTGTGAAGTGAATAACGGTACAGTACAACCTTCTCCCTCCATTCAGCCACAGCTCTGACCCAAGACAGCTGCAATCACAGATTATTATTATTTTTTTTTTTACTTTTTCTGTTACGGACACTATCGATTCAGCGATTGTTCCAACCAGGGGACTATCTTGTGGGCACATTTGGACACTTTTACGCATGACGACTTCGATGACACTTCTCGGGTGACAGCAGGACCTCGTCGCGTAACGACTAAAAGCCCTGAATCGTTCGGGAAGTTTTAAGTTAATTGAGGTAGGGTACAACTTCATTTTCTAATTAAGAACATTCACCAATGACTTTGAGAAGCACAACTAACGACTCTGTTTTCACTCTAGTCGGATGAGAAACGCATGTTAATGTTTTGGATAAACTTTGTTTGTCAGAAAAATGTGTTTTTATTAATCCGAGTCATGCGTTCCCAAGACTCGAGCACGACTGACCTCACTAATACAAGCACGCGCAGCTCTGCAGCCGGGATACATTAGAGAGAGTGGGCTGCCGGGAATCAGACACGCGCGCGCGTGTCTTTTACTTGTATGCACGCGGCAGGAATGTTGTGGGAGACATTTTTTTGCCAGTTAGGTTAACTGTTTGTATTGGCGAGGATTTTAATAGGATTATTTTTCTTAATTGGAGCTTCCTTTGAACTTTCGCTTTTGTGAATCACATTTCAGCTCTTAATAAGTGTTTTACATGAGATTAAAGCTAAAATAATAGGACAATACTTTTTATAGAAACATTTTAATGTGCTTTGCTGTTTGCTTTATGGTAATATGCTTCTGATAATATTTTAGGAACCATTATGATAAACTTTACAACACTAATATAAATACGCTTACACATAACTTTAACCACGTAAACTAGACTAAATGGAGGTTATTTCTATCATGTATTTTGCGCTTTCACGTATAGTCTTGTTTCAGTTTTGTTCATACTGAAAGACAGAAACAAAATATTTGGAATCTCCTAACTCTTTAATAATTTAAATCTAATGACTCAACACACTGAAATAATGTCGAGTCAAATAGGGTTTGTGTTTACAGTGTTTCCCCTACCATAGGGGAAACACCCCCCCCTCCCCCCCCCCCCCTTGAAGGTCAAGTAAAAAAAATTAAGATTTATTTTTGGGCTTTTTGTGCCTTTCTTGTAGTGATGGGATAGTGGATAGAGTCGGAAATCAGGGAAAGAAGTCATGTAAGGATACCTTTCCGATAGAAAAGGACAGCTGTCATTACAAGTAGCATGAACAGCAAGATTCCTTCAAGTGTTTGTGACGGTGTGTCAGCGTAACCCCCCCCCCCCCCATAAACCTAGGGGAAACACTGGTTTGCATAAACCAGGGGCTGTTCTGTTCTTGAGTCATGAAGGGAAAAAGCGTCAGAAATCTAAGCCTCTCCCTCTCTTGTGTATTCACCCAAACTGACTTCTCCCTCGGTCCTCCTGCCAACACTTCCAGTTTGTTTAAACATACCTTTAAACTTTCTTCCAAACCGTGCTCTCTTTCTCCTCACAGCACAAATCCCCTTTAACGCCTGATTACTTTAAATATTTAAGCAATGAAAGCTGAGCTGAGTGTAGGGGAACTTCCTTAAGGCCAACTGAGTCACTGAAACTTCAAGAGTGGTGCCGGGTTACGGGAGACCCCGCACAAACAAAAGGGTTGCAGGTTTCTGAAATTGAATAAACTACATCAGGAGGGTTAAAATAGGGAGAATAACTACTGTAGTCTTGAATGGAAACCCCCCTAAGTTTGGTTCTGGCTCTTTGTGGACAAAGTTAAAGCCTTTAATGTCTCTGTTTTGCAACTGTCTGCAGCCCTCGTCTGCTGAAGCCATGTTTTCCAAAGCCACCGCCAACTTTGTTCGCGACATTGACCCCGAAGGAAGCCTCATCCACGTGTCCCGAGTGAATGACTCACACAAACTGGTTCCCATGGCGCTTGTCGTCAAACGCAATCGCATCTGGTTCTGGCAGAAACCGAAATACCACACCACAGATTTCAGCCTCAGCGACTTGTTGCAGGGAGACAAGGGACTCAGTCCTGGTATGTAGGTGTGCACATGCACAAAATCTAAACTTCTCTGTAGATATTTTCACATTGCACGAAGCCACTTAAACCCATCCTGTCTTTCAACATTTGTTTTCAGGTGTTTCTGAGGAAGAGTTTCTTTCCTTCGAGGGGAAGTATGGGGACAAACTCTCGGCGAAGCTGGACACTGAGGCTGGCTCCGTCAGCGGCACACTGGAGGGGTATGGCACCTCCAAACTGAAGTCGTGTTTTGGCAAGCTGAAGAAAGAGACTCTGGATGTGACGAAGCTGCTGCAAGACTCCAGCGGCAGGTGGACACACACACACACACACACACACACACACACACACACACACACACACACACACACACACACACACACACACACACACACACACTGCTAAGCACTTCGACGTCTTTTTTTTTCCTGTAGGATGGTTAACATGGAGCATGTGCTGGTGCAGCAGCTGGAGAAGCCAGCTGAGGTGCTGGCGGTGGTGAAGGAGCGCATCTTCACCACGGACTCCTGCTCCGTCAGCCAGACAAAAAAGGAGCAGTGCATCTTTCAGGGGGTGCTTGGGCTCATTGGCATGCTGGGAAGCCCTTTTAAGGTGGGTGCGGATGGCATTGATTTAATATGGGTGCTCTGCAAACAGTCGTTAAGTTACTGGTCAGAACATTGATGCAAAGCATTTCCCCTGGATTTTATTAAAACACGTGTGTATTATGTGTCTTTTAAGTTGTGTGTCAAGGAGAGAAACAAGATCGAAGCAGACAGCGATGTTTCCTTGAAGATCCCCTCCGGTACAGTTGTCGCATATAGCGTCATTGAGCTGGAGATTAAGAAAAATGGACAATATGGTGAGTGATTATGCAATGAAAAATGTACATTGTCGTTGTTGAAATAGCAGATAACACTGTGTCCACTGTAATAAAGCGGTTGGAAAAGGGAAGTGGATCACTTGATAGTTTTGACTTTATCTTTTTCACTGTAAATGTCCTCCTCTGTATCTTTTTAACACGTGTTTTTCCATATTTTCAGGAATTTGTGTAAGACCTGGCGCAATAGGAGGCATTGAGGCAGACTCACCCGTAACAACGCCATCCCATGATTTCTTGGACACAATTGACGGACAATGCAATGGGCAGAAAGCTCCAGAAACAGTGCCATCGAGTGCGTCACAAAATGGTTTGTAACAGTTAATTCATTCATACATTTGGCCAGTAACACGGACGATAAAATTCTGTTCATATTTTCTTTTTCTGTGAGGAAGTGAGGATTTTGTGGAACCCCAATGAGTTCCTTTTTCCAGAAACAAATGAATTTATGGCTTCAATTAAAAAGTGCCTCTCATTTGTTAACTATACTACTACTTGTAAGGAAGCTGGAGTTACGATGGTTACAAAAAAATACTATGAGCACAATGCAAAGAAAAAACGGACTTCTCATGGTGCTCAGTTGGGTTTATTTATTCCCCTTTAACAATTATACATATAGTTACTTCATGTTCTTATTTTGCTAGAGATCTCCGTTTCCATTCCCAGATTTCCAAATGACCTTAAAATACCGGCTTGTCAAACCAACCTACACATCCAAAAACAAATCCACACTTTGTTCCCAAAAAGAAAACACAATTCTCTCATTGTGTCATTTTTTAAATATTTTGAAGTTATGTCATCTTTGTCTTATTTGTGGAACTGATTCAAAATCAAGGTGGTGATATAAAATGATGCTGGTTTTGTTACGCGCCCTCATTCCTGGGAGAAGTAAGATTTTATAGTGGAGTAAACTGTGTCACACTTATGACTATACGGTAGCTTAATTTAAATTAGTAATGTTGCCTCACTAGAAATTTAAGCAGCATCCAAAAAATGTTGATCGCATAATGCTGTGAGGAATTACAATAATAAGCCTATGAACCACTATTATCAATATCAAAACTGATGGTCATGTGAGTATTTAAAGGGCAGATTTGGACAGATATGTGTTGAAACATTGCATTTGTTTATTTTAGGATGATAGTTATTGTAAAAATAATCTTCAAATCCTTAAAAAAGATCATACATTTCAAACAAACTAACAAGGATTCTCATCTTGGCCAAATCAATCATAATAATAAAGGTGGAAGACTTAGGCTAAGACCAGCCACATTTTCATGCTGCTGTAGCTTCTGTTTAAATCCTGATATAGAATGTTCCTCTCTCTTACAGGCTCACATGAGATGGACCTTTCTCCTCTGGCAGAGCTGCCCCAGTCTGCTCGATTTGCCTTGTTCAAGTGCCTCCAAGACACTCTGAGGGACAGAGGTGCTCTGTCATACCTGCAGTGTTTGGTAAGTGATACAATGACAGCAATACACCGGAGGTTTTTATGTTGGCCACTTGTTGTTTTGGGTTCTACAATCACAAGTTTGTGTTACAATTGGCTTCCCCAAACAGACACTGTATCCCAGAACAGCAGTTTAATAAAGTCAAAGACAGAATCTGTGACACGGCAAATATTCAGTTGTCTTTGTTGCCCCGCCCCCTCTGTCAGCTGGAGGACTTGTGTAGCGGTGAAACACTCGACATGGCCGAACATGGACAGCTATCGGGCAGTCAGGAAATAACGTTTTCAGCCATACTGGACAGTTACACTGAGGACAGCCAGGGTGGTGTACCTGCTCACCTAATGGCTGCTCACCTGCTGGTCAGCGCCATGGAAGGTAAGGGGGTCAGCTTCAGACTGAAACATTAGTCCAGAAAGAAAACATTTCCAAACCTAATCATGTGTGTCATATTTGTTGTTTTATTAGAGTTGCCTGATAAAACTCTGAGCCTCCTGGCGGGAAGCTGTCCTGAATTCCTGGAGGCCTTCGACACACTGGTCAGTTCATACACACTTTTACACCACTGACTTCAAAACTGTTGAAAAATATAATGATCAGTTATGAATTTGATATGAAGCTAAACAAGTCCAATATTTGAATGTGTATTGGCAGAATACATATGTGAGTTTATAGTTTGGCCTTTATAAGAAATATGCTTATTTGATTGATACCACTCTTGAGTGTGCACTGCAGCTAGTTAGCCTAGCTTAGCATAAGGAGAAAACAGCCTATGTGAAGGTAACCAAACCAAACCAAAAGCAAAACGTGAAAAATTCGACATAGATTTTTTTCCAATCTCTCCATCCATTTATCCATCAAACCAGATGACCAGGTTAAAGGACAGCAGCGAGCCTCTCTCCATCCAGTGTCTTCCAGTCCTGCTGCAGGACAACCAGGCCTTCCAACTTGCTGAGCAGCTGCTCAGTTCCACCAACGTGACCTTGGGAGAGATGCAGACTGGCTACAGATGGAGACAGGAAACCAAGCGGGAGTTCCCTGCGTGGTCCTCTGTCTCAGCATACAGGGTTTGTCTATGCTGAGCAGAGGGCTGGAGGAGTAGAGGTGTCTTCATCTGCACTTTCTTCCAATTTCTATAGACTGTATTCAAGACGTTTATTTCTTTGTTGTAAAATGAATTTGGATTAAGCTTATTGGAGTCTGTTTTAAAACATTTAAAAACAACATTTTATTAATAACTATGTAACGTAGAGATATTATATAATTGTATTGTTCTCCCAAATGTTTTTGTTACCAGGCAAAGACTTCGTATTTTTGTATAAAGAAATAAATATATTTTATGCAATGAATTTGTGTAAGTTGGGGCAGCTCATAAATGGTTCATACGAGTGTCTCACTAGTATTGCTTGTAAGCCATTGAGAACTTTAGAATGCACCTTATATTAATCTGTCCAACAGATGATTTGTGTATTTTATAAATCCAGTTTTAAAAAAAAAACATTTGCTAAAACTTGTTTTTACACCAATACTTACCGTTACCTTGTTGTATCGACTCTGTCAAGCTTTTTGGAAGCTTGATCCAAAGGCAACTGGACTTATGAGATAGATATAAGATATTGAAGACGTTTCACCTCTCCTTCAGTTCTAAACTAACTGGTGGATGGAGCTGGAAATTTAAGCCTCTGAGGATCATCAGCTCCGTCCATCAGACAGTTTAGAACCAAAGAAAACTTTCAGCGGAGAGGTGAAACGTCTTCAAGATCTTAAATCAGGTCCTGTTGCCTTTGGATCAAGCTTCAAATTTACATTTTCTGTCCTGGAGGTCTGAAAACCTACACAGAGTGTATTTTATTGCTGCTACTGCTTGATTAAACCATGCATTCATTTTCTAGTTTTATTTACGAAGAAAACAACATTTTAAGCATTCCCTGATATATTGGAATTTAATGCAAAATCATACAAAACATAATGTTATGATTTATGACTTGTATTGATGTTTCAGTGTTCAAATCATGTGTACCTGAGCTATAAAGTTTATGAAGCTACCTTTGAAATGCAACTATTACCACTCTCTGTTAACATTCATATTTCATATTATGTGTTAAGAAAAAGACTTTACATATTTATTTCATATTCTTTGAAAAACAAGAAAAGTTTTCATGTAAGTCTTTGGGTCAGTGTTTTAATAACGTTACAACAGTTTATCATTGATCCTGAATCAATGTATTTTTGGTAAACGTTTATCATTGGGATTAATCTGTGTACTCTATTTAAAAAAAGGTCACATCAGATACACTTTTAGCATATTTTTTACATATTTTATTGAAACTGTTCATTACAGAGTTTTAATGTCTGAGGTCTCAATCCGCCTTTGTATGATGTTTTCAGGAACCATGTTTATTTTCACATACCAAATAAACCACAGTCACCCATGTTCAAGGTTGTGTTGGGTGTGTTTCTTTTATGGCTGATGAGACCTTTTGTCTGAACAGGGCTCACAGACTATGATCATTTTGTTTGCAGCTCCTGTTAGTATGGGACAGGTTACATCATCTATTGTAATTGTGTAGTCACAATCCAGTTAGTTTAGCTTCAGGGCTGAATTACTAATCAGGTTTTAGAGGACAAATATCCTGTACATGGCCTTACGAGCCCCAGTTCAACCTGTTTCAGGGTTTGGGAAATGAGTAATTTCTTTAGTTGTTAGGAATGTTGGCTATCTTCTTGTCTTGTAAAATGTCAACTTTGAAAGTATAGTTTCAAAAACATAGCTCCTCCCTTTTTAGGAATTATAGTCAGACAAAAACATTGCACACAGCTGTGTGAGTGTAAAAGGGCCACCAGTTTACATGAAAATCACGTCAGTTACGTCAAGCATTTTTTTCTGGATTGCAAATTTGCAGCAATGTTACACAGCAACAATAAAAACTGCACTGATTAAATACTACCCATGCTTCAGCGGGGACAACTGATGTAACATTAATATGAGAAAAAAAATGTAAGTCAAAATTTAGGTTCCTGAAAATTACCGTTGTATCATCACCATAGACCAGGGGTGTCCAAAGTGCGGCCCGAGGGCCATTTGTGGCCCTTGAGGGGATTTTTTTTTTTGCGGTCCGTGATTTCAAATAAAGAATCAAAAGATTTTGGCCCGAGGCCTCGATTAAGATTGGCACATTATCTTATTTTTCTTTTTCATGTTAACAAGAGCTGAACAATATTCCTAAAAAAGAAAATGTTCAGTAACATGTATGGTTTTTTTTTGTTTGTTTTTTTAAATCTACAGCTTTTACTATTTTCCACATTTTTTTGTAAACTATGAAAAAAAACTTATGCAAAGTTTTTGCAAACAAGCAGACTGGTGTTTAACCTTTTAATGACCTGAGCTAAATGCAGAAAGCTTTTCCCAAAAAAAAATGAACCACGTTACAGGCTTGATTCTGAGACAAAAAACAAATAAAGTAGAACGAACAAAATCTAAATATTTGATTTCTTTTTATTAAAGGGTTTCTTTAGCGAGCCTTTTGATTCTGATCTACAAAGCCTTACTACTTTTTTCAACTATATTTTAAAAAACAAAACCTGTGGCCCCCCCTAACACGACAATTTTGGCCCTGAAGAAAGAAAGTTTGGACACCACTGACCTCGACTGTAAAGTAAATATTCATATCATCATCACGAGAGGTCGCTGTTTGTGTTCTCGTTGTGATTGGCCGATGACGTAAATTCTCTGCGACGGCAGCTCAATTTTCTTCCTTGGTCGCATGAAAACATGCGGCGCTGTTGATAAGGGGGAACTATTGAAGAGAGGTTTATTTTCTTTTGTTTTTACAAACAACATCGTGTGGAAATGCCAGTGTGCAATTTCTTTCTTCAGGGACGTTGTCGTTATGGCGACAAATGTTGGAATGAACACCCGAGGGGGGGAAGCCGAGGAGGAGGTGGAGGAGGAGGAGGAGGAGGAGGAGGAGGTGGAGGAGGAGGATACAACAACAACAACACCAACTACAACCGCTCCTCTGCTCAACAACAGCCCAGAGGAGGAGGTGGAGGTAACGACCAGTAAATAGGTCTTCAGCTACACTTTCTGTTGTCCAGTTTTCACTAGGACAGTAATTTAAGACTTTTAATCAACTTGATTTAATCATTACAGCCTCTTACAAAAAAAAAGACTACCTGCTGCTTAATGCGTATGAATACATTGAAGTGAAGTCAGCAAGGCCAGTGGACAAAAAAGAAATGGACAGCTAAACATGCAGGGATTACAATTTTAGAAAGTAGAAGACACTATTTTCTGTCACTCTGCTCCCAAATATGTCTCGGAGCATAACAATCTAAAAGTCTGTTTACTTTGTAAAATAACAAACTAACTAATTACTTTTGAACCCTAATTTCCGATAAGGAAACATAAGGACACACAACCCACTTATCACAGGGCTGAAAGATGGATGAATGGAAGAGGGATCCCTCTCTCTTGACAGACAGCCATGCTGTTGTAGTGTGTTGTTGTTGTTGTTGTTGTTGTAAAAACTGATGCAAGTACAAATGACATTTAGTCAAAAAATGTAAGCTCACTGGTTTAGGATCGACATCTTTTCCCTCTTTGATGACTGTTGTTTGCATTTTGATTTCAGGGTATGGAAACCGAGTGTGGGTGAATCCTTCACAGCAAAAAGGAGGCTATATCCAGCCTTCGTCCTTCTCCTCTCAAGGGAGCAATGACTGGGGAGGTGGAGGAGGAGGAGGAGGTGGAGGAGGAAATGACTGGGGTCAAGCAGGAGGTGCAGGGAGAAGAGACAACTTGAAGTCCTCTGAATTCAGCTTCTCTAATCAAAACAGATTTTCATCGCTGGCTCCGTCCAGTACCTTTGACAGAGGAGGAAGAGGAGGTGGAGGGCAGCAGGTGCCGACTGGAGATGAAGATGATGACAAAAAACTGTGAGTCTGCTTGATTATTATTATTTTTTTAGGGGTGGCAAAAAAAATGACAGTTTTGAAAAAGGAATTCACTCGTGTGATGTCTGTCTTACTGTCCCACAGGGAGATCATTCAGATGGACATGGACATTTGGGAAAGCTCAGGACAGTGGAGGTTCTCGTGTTACTCGGGCTCAAAGGACCCTTTATCTGGTCCGTATAATGTGTACATTTGAATACTTGATTTCTGGTGTTGTTTGAAGTCACAAACAATCTTAGTTTTGAATGATAAAACCAATAACCAAGACACAACAACTGAGTGATGTGTGATATTTCATGTCCACAGGTTTCACTGATCTCTCTCCTGAAGAGCTCAGGCTGGAGTTTAACGCCACAAGAGTCTCAGGAAATCTGCAGAGTTATGTAAGTGTCTAGAATGTTACTCCTGATGTTTGTCTCCAGGCCATTAAGAAAATAAAGAGGTTACCTTCTGCGGTGAGCTTCTGTAGACTCTTGACTTCCTGAATAAAGTCTACTATTCCAAGATTATTGTTAATCTTAGAGTCTGATCAGACAGTCATTTTTAAAAATATGCCACAGTCTAACAAATTCCTGTTGAATGTTTTTAGGTTGATGGGGTCAACCAGTTGTTGAACCAGTGGAGAAGCAGAGTCCAGGAGCTGAAAGTCATGAGTCCAGCCACCCGCACAGCTGTGGTGAGACACAAACACACACACCGTGTAGTACTCCTGTTTATTTTGATGAAGGCACTTTAAGAAAACGGTAAACATGTCATGATATTTTCCTGCGTTTACTGTTTTACAGCTTGCGGAGTTAAACAACCCAGCACCTCAGGCATCGTCAGGCGGCTTTGATTCAGGGACAGTGACTGGATTCGGATCCTCTTCATCTGGCTTCGAAAGCAAAGGTTAGACTGAGTTCTCTGCATTTGTCACTTTGACACCAAGCTCCATGTTTTTTTTTTTTTGTAGCAAATGTCATGACACCAATCCTATGCTGCCATGGCCTGGTGGGTCTTAAAACTTAAATTTGTCAGGTGCACTGTTGGACTATTTCTGTCTTGAGGTAGCAGAAAGCAATGTCTTCCATTGATTAAGAGAAGAAAAAAAGCGCTTCCACTCTGCTTGCCACACAAACAGGGATACACTGCAGTGCTCCCACTCCATCTTTAAATACCTGATTAGTTGCTCATTCGCTGTCAAATTGATTTGCTGATTACACACAGGAGCACAGGAAGCTTGTGTTACAAACATCTCCATGCGCCATTAAAGCATTTTGGTTTTGTGAAATCGTTGTGGTGATATAAGCAGAAAAGGTCCTCACACCAGGACGCTTTAGTAGCTGTTAGAATTCTGCGCAGACCCAAGACGGCAGACAGAGCCTAACCTGTTCCCAGACAGACAGCAAGATTCCTTTTAAGCCGCCCTGTGTCTGGAGATTTGTATCTGTCCATGAAGTTACGCAGCTGTACCTTTTTTATAGGTAAATGAACATAGTGTCCTTCTTTTTTTAAGGAGACACACTTATTGTCAAAACTTTTTATTTGAACCACAATTATTTATTTTTAGATGACCCTACAGACCCAAACTAGCTGTTTTCATTGTTCTAACCTTGGTGCTTCTGTCTGTAGCGTTAATTCAGCTTACTCCATAATAACCTATGACTATAGTACTGGAGCAAATAACTGAACTACATGTGAGATGTGACTTACTGACTGCCATGTCAAGTGATTGTGAAGAACATGAATGCATCTGAATTTGAGTGTGTAGGTTTATAGATCACAATAAGCCTTTTTTTTGGCTTTTCCTCATCCTTTGAACTTTAATTTCTTATCATGTAGGTTTTGGAGCTGCAGCACCAGCCCAGGCCAGCACTTTCAGCTTTGCTGCTCCCAGTGGGGGATTTGGTTCCTCAGCACCACCACCATCATCGTCCACAGGTTTTGGCAGTGCCTTAGCTTCGCCTACACAGCCTCCCTCTGGGTTTGGTTCGTCCTCCTCGGCCCCCTCTGCTCCCTCAGCTTCTTCTTTCTCCTTCAACTCTACAACTACAAGCACGCCGGCAGCCACTTCAGGATTCGGCTCGGCCTCCGGGTTCAGCTTCTCCTCGGCAGCCGGCACAGGAGGAGGATTCGGAGGCGGTTTCGGGGCCGGAGCACCAGCAGCATCAGCAGGAAGCAGCAGCGGTTTCGGTCAATCTGCTCCACCTGCAGCAGGAGGTGGGTCCGCTGGCGGGGCGTCAGACTGTCTTTTTTCACCAGCGAGCGAACTGACTCCAGAGGAACTGAACCAGTTTAAGGCTAAGAAGTTCACTCTAGGCCAGATCCCTTTAAAACCTCCTCCAGCAGACATGTTGATGGTATGATGCTTTGGGAAAAACCTCCAAGAAGTTTATGAAATAAAACAATAATTTATACAAAGCTAAGATTTCAGTTCCTTCTGAGTAGTGCTACATTTAAACCAATGTGGTTATACTCTTTATAAACATGTGGCTTATATA